GTGCTTCGGCCCGCGCTCGGAGACCGCGTGGCTCTCGCCGCTCTGCGGCGGCTTCGACGCGCCGGGCCTCGCGCCGTTGCGCTTCGAGGTCGGCGACGCCGTCGAGGCCCTCGTCGAGCACCGACTCGGCGAGGAGACGGAGTGGGTCGCGGGCGCCGTCGCCAAGGTCTGGCCGCGCGTCCGCGGCCGCTACGCGCCCTACACGATCTCGCTGCCCGGCCGCCTCGCGGGGCGCGCCGTGTCCGTCGTCGTCCACCGCGACGACGCGAAATTGCTGCGGCCGGGCCCGGGCACGGCGCCCAAGGACGTCGAGGTCGCGGACCCGCAGGAGCTCGCGCCGCGGCGCCGCCGCGGCGCGGGCGACGACGACGACGACGACGACGCGGCGCCGCGCCAGGTCTACTACAAGCGCGACGGCAACGTCATCGACATGACGCGCGCCTACGACCTCGAGCCGCCGCCGCCGCCGCCGCCGCCGCCGCCGCCGCCGCCGCCGCCGGTCGACGACGCGCTCATCCCGCCGCCGCCGCCGCCGGGCCCGCCGCCGGACTGGGTCCTGCGCAAGGCGGGCTTCATCCCGTGAGCGTGACCTGGCTTGAGGTAACGAGAAGTGTAAAGTGAAGTGTAACGAGAGCTTGTTGACGTCAACTTGAACAAGCTTGTGCAAACCGCCGGCGAGCAACCATCGGTTGGTTTTTGCCTCTTGTCGCCTTGGCACTGGCCCGTCGCTTGCGCCCTTGTGCTGCGGCATTGTCTCGAGACCATGTCTGGCCCGCGCGTCGTGCGCATAAATCTCTCGCCTGAGTTGGTGGAAGAACGCGACACGTTGTCGACCGAGCGCGAGACGTTTACAAACGACACCGACGCAGCCGCCGTCGTGTCGCCGCGGTCCTGGGCCCCAGCGGTGGTCTCGCCGCGGTCCTGGGGCACGCCCGCGGCGAAGGCGCGGTCGGCGAGCGTGCCCGTCGTGACGCCGGTGACGCCGACGCGCGCGGCTCGGAACACGAGCCCGCACACGCTCGTCGTGCTCGACACGGGCGCGTACGTGCCGTTCCCCGCGGTGCTCGGCCGGTCGCGGCGGAGCGACGTCGTCGTCGACGAGCCGACGGTCTGCCGGGCCCACCTGCGCGTCGCCGTCGACGAGAACGGCGCGCCGTCCGTGCGGTGCGTCGGCCGCAAGGGCGCCGCGGAGGCGGCCTGCGACGGCGAGGTCATCGCGCCGGGCGCCGCCGTGCCGCTGAGGCAGGGCGCGTGCATCTCGCTCGGCGGCGCGAAATTCCGCTACATGTGCTCCGAGGGCCCCGTCGTCACGTCGGGCGCGCGGCGCCGGGAGACGCTCGCGCGGCGCGCGCTCGCCGAGCGACCGCCGCCGCCGCCGCCGCCGCCGCCGCCGCGGTCCTGCGTCGGCTGCGCGCCGCGCGCGCGCGGCCGCCTCTCGTCCGCGGACGCGTGGCGCGAGGTCGACGAGGCCCAGACGCGGTCGGACCACGCCGCGCGCGTCTACGCCGCGGCCCGCGCGGAGACGTTCGAGGAGGACGACGCGGAGCGGCGGCTCTACCACCGCGAGGACGCGCGGCGCGCGGCCGCGGCCGCGCGGGCCCGGAGCGTCTTCTCCGCCTCCGAGGCCGCGGGGCGCGGCTGCGTCGTCGCCTAGGGCGCCGCCGGGACTCCGGCCGCTCGCTCTTAAAAATCGTCGTGGGGCGCGACGTCGACGGCGTGCTTCGCGGCGTGCGCGGAGACGACGGCGGCGTTGATGGCGGCCGTGGCCTCGTCGAGGCGCTTCTGGAGCGAGCCCCGCGCGGCGTTCGTCGCGGCCTCGAGCGCCGCGTAGGCCGCCTGGACGTCGCCGTCCGCGGCCTGGACGCGGTCCACGGTCGCCGGGTCGGAGATCTTGAAGATGCGCATGACGCTCTTGCAGCTGTCCAGGATGTCGCCCGCGTCGCCGTGGAGCCGCGCGTCCATGGCGCCGAGCACGGCGGCGATCGCGTCGGCGGACTTGGGCGCGCGCGGCGACTCCGGCAGGACGTACTCGGGCTCGCCGTCGTCGGCGGGCGGGGGCGGCGGCACGTACTCCACGGTGCGCATGGACGTGTTCATGAGGGGCACGTCGGGCGCCGCGTCCGGCGGGTCCTCGCCGTCGGACGCCAAGGCGTCGAAGTCGACGGACCGCTCGGGCTCGGACCCGGACGCGTACTTCTCGAAGTCGACGTCGCCGGCGTCGGCGCCGGCGCCGACGGGCCGCATGTGCGACACGTCGAGCTCCGCGGGCGGCGGCAGGCTGCTCAGCTCGACGGTGACCGCCGGCGCCTCGTCGGGCTCGGGCGCCTCGTCGTCGCTGAGGCCGCCGGACGGCGCCTCCGCCGCGGGCGCCTCCGCCGCGGGCGCCTCCGCGGCCGCCGATTCGACCGCCGCCGCTTCGACCGCCGGCTCTTCTGCCACCGCCGCTTCGACCGCCGCGGGCGCCTCGGCGGGCGCGTCGCGCGCGGGCGCGGCGGCGCCGTCGTCGTCGTCGTCGGACGCGTGGGCGCCGAAGACGTGCTGGGCCGCGCTCTTCTGGCGCTGGAGGCGCGGGCTCTCGTCGTCGAGGAGCGGGTGGGGCTCGAGCGCCCTGGCGGGCCCGTCGAAGACGCCGTCGCCGATGGCCGCGAGCACGAGCCGCAGCCCCGTCGCCGCCTGCGCGGAACTCAAATCTTCGATCCGACTTCAATGTGCGCGTAATTGCGCCGGACTCTTCAGCCGTGCTTCGAGAACTCGACGAGAGCAATCCAAAAATCAGCCAAATCGACTTCGAATCGACCGAGCGAGAGAATTTCAAAGTTTGGTCGGGACGTCCCGAACCGGCGGTCGATTTCCACGCAGGTCGCCGCCGGGAGCGCGTGGTGGAGCAGGTAGTCGCGCTTCTCCCGGGGCATGTCCGGGTTGAGCTTGAGCGACTCCTGGTAGCTCACGTAGCCGAGCGTGAAGGACGTCGCGAGGCGGCACGCGGCGAGGTGCGGCAGCGCCTCGAGTTCGGGGGCCGTGAGGTCGAAGACGCCGCGGAGCCCGTCGACGAAGGCCAGCGCGCCCTGGATGGCCTCGGGGACCGTCGAAGATCCGTCGAAGCCCGACCGCGCGTTCTCCGGCGTGCAGAGCGTCACGACGACGTAGGCCATGCCGACGGCGACGTCGTTGACGCGCCACGAGTGGACGCTGTCGCCGATGTCGAGCACGCCGAGCGTCTCGGCGCCGACGAGCACGTTCGCGTCGTTGAAGTCGCCGTGGAGCGTCGCGAGGGGCAGCTGCGCCGCGGCCGGCGCGACGACGGCGTCGAAGTTCGCGATGGCCCGGTGCACGTCGGCCGCCTTGTCGACGTCGCAGCCCGCGTCGACGAGGCCGTCGGCGAAGGACGCGAGCGCGGGGAACTGGCGGCCGTCCCAGAGGTGGACGCGGTGGAGCGCGGCGTGGTCGAAGTCGTCGAGGGCGAGGCGGATGCGCCCGAGGAAGGCGCCCGTCGTGGCGAGGAGGCCGGGCGTGATCTCCTTCGACGACAGGAGGTCGCCGTCGACCCACTCGAGCAGCCGCAGGGCGAACGTCGCGTCGCCGTCGGCCAGGGGGTTCTTCAGGCAGCTCCGCTGGGCGTCGCCGTCGGCCGGCGGCGGCGGCGCGGGCGCGTCGACGAAGCGCACGCTGTCCACGGGGTACGGCGCCGCGACGCCCTTCCGCCGCAGCCGCTCGTAGAGCTGCGACTGCGCGTCCAGCAGCCCCTCGTCGCGCGACTCGACGCCGTTGTGGACCTTGAGCACGTAGACGGCGCCGTTCTCCGCCGTGACCTTGTAGTTCTGGTCGTCGTAGGAGTTGAGCTCGACGATGGCCGCGACGCGGACGTGGAACTCGTCGCGCGCCATCGCCTTGGCCTCGGCCAGCGTGAACCGCGGCTTGAGCACCTTCCGCTCCATCTCCTCGCGCTCGCAGATCTCGCGCACGCCCGACCCGCCGCCGGCCAGGCCCTCGGGCGCCGACCGGCCGCAGAAGAAGAGGGCCAGCGGGTGCTCCCGCGCCTTGTCGGCGCAGAACCAGCTCATGCCGAAGTAGTTGTCGCTCGGCTCCGCGGCCTCGGCGCGGAGGCTCTGGACGCGGTCCAGCTTGGACAATATACTGCTGCGGGAGCGGCGTTCCCGACGTTCAGCACCACCTCGACTGGCTGGGAGCAGTGAGGCTGGAGTTTTTAGTTTTGCCACAAGCGATGTTGACCTCACCTTGATCTTCAAGCAGTGAATAGGCTTATGGACCAAGGGGATCTTCAAGTACTTGAAGATCCCCTTGTATGGACCGCCTCCAAGTCTGAAGCGCCTCAAAAGGCGTCGCAGCCTTGCAAGAATCTCTCTTAAACTCTGAAGCGCCTCGCAAGGCGTCGCAGCCTTGCAAGAATCTCTCTTAAAGCTTGATGGAGTGGGGCACGCTCTCCCCAACACAGCCGCTCGTCTCCGCCACGGCGGAAGACCGCCCGCCGCTGGAGGTGCGCTTCGTCAACGAGTCGAGCGCGCACCTCACCGTGTCCTGGGTCGACGCGGCCGGGCGCCTGCGCCACGGCCGGCGCTGCGCGCCCGGCGCGGGCCCGCTCCGCGTCCGCGACGGCTCGGTGCGGCCCGAGCACGTCGAGGGCACGTTCGCCGGCGACGCCTTCGTCGTCTACGCGGGGCCCGGCGACGACCTCGCCGCGAACGCGGACGTCGTCGCGGCGGACGCCGCGGGCGCGATCGCCGTCGCGGGCTGGTACGCCGCGTCCGACCGCGAGCCGGCGCGCGCGCGCGTCGTCCGCGTCGCCGACGGCCCGCGGCGCGGCCCGCTGGACTGGCTCCGGGGGACGCCGCGCGGGCTGGCGGCGACCGCGGGCGCCGCGGCCGCGGCCGAGGTCGCGGCGCCGAAGCCGAGGCGGACGTACGCGTACGCGCGCGTCGACGCGGGCGGCGTCGCCGTCGACGTCGACGCGCGCCTCGCGCCGGACTCCGCCGACGTCGCCGAGCTCCTGGGCGACGTCGCCGCCGCCGCCGCGCGGCTGCCGCCGCGCGCGCGCGCCGTCCTCGCGGCCGCGGGCACGCGCGTCGTCGTCCACGAGGACACGGAGGGCTTCGGCCACACGCAGCGTCCTGCGGCCGAGACGATGTTCGAGAGGTTTTTGGTGGGAAAGCAGTGAGAAATCGTCACCGTCATGCTTCGTAGGCCACATGTGCTTCCACCCGCGCGGCGGCGGCGCCTGGCTCGAGCGCGAGGGCTTCGACCCGAAGCTCGCGGGCTGCGTCCACGTCTATCGGCTGGCGGACTACCTCGGCGACCGCGAATTGTGGGGCCCCGGCGGCTCCGTGTTGCACGAGCTCTCGCACGCGTACCACGACTGCGCGCTCCCGGGCGGCCACGGCAACGCGGCCGTGGCTAGAAGGTACGAGGCGGCCGTCCACGGCGAGCGCTTGTACGACGCCGTGGACGTCAAGGGCCCCCAGGCCGAGCCGCGGACGGCCGGCGAGCGGCGAAGGCTCGCTTTCCGCCGCGCGTGCCGCTGCTGCGCCGGCGGCCGGTCGGGCGTGCCGCGGCGGCACTACGCGACGACGAACGCCGCCGAGTTCTTCGCGGAGCTGTCGACGGCGTACCTCTGCGACGACGCGGACGACGACTACAACAAGTGGGCGCCCTTCAACCGGTCCCAGCTCGCGCGGCGCGACCCGGAGACCGCGGCGCTCCTGGCGAAGATCTGGGACGGCGACGACCCGGGCGTCGACGACGACGAGCCGGCGGCGGCATCGTGCGCGCGGCGCGCGCTCGCCCGCGTCGCGCCGTGCCTCCGGCGGCGGCCCGCGCGCGACCGGGACGCCTAGCGTTCGACTGGAGCTTAGGGGAGACAGGGGGAGAGGGTGCTTGTGCCTCCGGCGGCGGCCCGCGCGCGACCGGGGCGCCTAGCGTTCGACTGGAGCTTATGGAGAGACAGGGGGAGAGGGTGCTTTTTCAGTAGACCGAGGACGCGGATCTGGAGCGGCACGGCGCGTCGTCGCCGTCGAGCTCCGCGACGAGGTCGTCGACGCGCGCGAGCGTCGTGTCGCCCGTGTCGAGGTCGACGCCGCGGAGGCCGCCGGCGCGCACGGCGATGACCGTGCCGGGCGCGCGCATCGCGCCGCGGACGATGGCGACGCGCGCGTTGACGCCGAAGGGCGCCTCGCGGCCGAGCGCGTCGTCCTCGTCGTCCGACGGCACGAAGTCGGGCCGCGCGCGCTTCCGCTTCTTGCGGCGCGGGCCGTCGCGGCCCGCGTCGGCGGCGGGCTCCACGGCGACGACGACGCCCGGCGAGCAGGCCTCCCAGGTGAAGCCGTCGTCGTCGTACTCGACGTCGACCGTGCCGTCGCCGCGGAGCGCCGCGAGCCGCGCGGGGTAGACCTTGGCGTCGGTCCACTCCGCGCGGACGGCCGCGCCGAGCTTGAAGCCCGTGGGGAAGCGGGGGCGCGCCGGCGGCGACGCCGCGGCCTTGGGCCGCTTCGCCGGCGACTCGCCGCTCGACTCGACGGACGAGTGCGACACGGCCGGCGGCGGCGGCGAGCGCGCCGCCGCGGGCAGCGGCCGGAGCACGGACGCGTTGAGCGTCCAGACCTCGCCCCGCTGGCCCGGGCCGGGGCTCGCGCCGCCGGCGCCGTCGACGCGCACGCGGAACGCGAAGCCCGGCGGCTTGCCGTCGACGGTGTCGACGATGGTCCCGGCGGGCCGCCGCCGGAAGTGCGCGATCTCGACGCGGCTCCCGACGGCGAGCGTCGCGGGCCGCGGCGGCGGCTCCGGCGAGTCGCGCGCGGCGCGGCGCGCCGCCGCCGCCGGGGCCGCCGGCGACGCCGGCGCCGCGGGGAGCGCCGCGGCGGGCCGCGGCCCCGCGGGCGGCAGCACGCGGAGCGCGTGGGGCCGGAACGAGCGCACGCGGTCCTTGCCGTCCGCGGGCGTCTCCTCGAGCAGCACCTTGAGCCAGTGGTTCACCGTCTGCGCGACGACCTTGCCCGCGGCGCCCGTCGCGACGACGGCGACGCGCACGCCGACGACGAACGCGTCCGCGGGGTTCGGGCTCGGCGGCGGCGCGGGGCCCGGCGGCGCGCGGCGCCGCGGCGACGGCGCCGCCGCGGGGCTCGGCGGCGCCGCGGGGCTCGGCGCCGCGCGGCGCCGCGGCGACGGGGCCGCCGCGGGGCTCGGCGCCGCGGGGCTCGGCGGCGCGCGGCGCCGCGGCGACGGGGCCGGCGCGGGGCTCGGCGGCGCGGGGCTCGGCGGCGCGCGGCGCCGCGGCGACGGCGCCGCGGGGCCCAGGAGCCGCAGCGCCTTGGGCCGGAGCGACCGCGCGGCGGAAGCGCCGTCGAACGCGACCTTGACCCACGCGTTCGCCGTGGCGCCGACGACGATGCCCTCGGCGCCCGTCGACGCGAGGGCGACGCGCGCGCCCGCGGCGAAGGCCGCGCCCGCCTTGGGCTTCCCCTGGGGCTTGCCGGGCGGGCGGCCGCGGCGCGCGCGCGCCGGGCTCGCTTCCGAGTCGCGGCGGCCGCGCGCGGGCGACCGCGCGGCCGGCGCCGCCGCGTCCGAGCTCGACCGCCGCGGCGTCGGCGGCGCGATGTCGTCCTCGTCCTCGTCGGGCTCCCCGTCGCTGGCCCCGCCCGCCCCCGTGACCGCGGCCGCCGCCGCGTCGAGCGCGATCGTCGTCGTCAGCCGCGGCGAGTCCTCGAGCCACCCCCGCTCCGCGACGAGCCGCGGGATGCCCGCCACCGACGCGTCGCGGCGCGGCTCGTCGCAGCCGCGGCCGACCCAGTGGACGGCCCGGAGCTCCGACGGGGGCACGCGCTGCCAGCGCGGCGCGTCGTCCTCGCTTCCGCCGCCGCGCTCGCCGTCGGCCTCCGCGTCCTCGGCCTCGATTTCGGGGAACTCGTGGCGTTTGAGCGCCTGGCCGCGGATGCGCCACGCGGGCCAGTCCGTCTGCTTGATGATCCCGACGCACCCGTTCTGCCCGACGGACGCGTCGTCCATGTAGTTGCGCTGCGTGGCGCGGAACTTGAAATCGTTGACGCCCGGCCGCCGGCTGCATTGGCTCAGCGGCGGCTCCGGGCTAGGGCACGTGTTTCTGATCGGGATGGCGTCCATCCCGCTGCGCCCGGCCGCCGTCAATCGTCGCGCCAGCACGAGAGCAGCTCGTCCCGAATCACAGCAAAGATTGTGGTAAATCCAAACATCAGCGATAGTAATAATAGGCCAGTGCTTTCCCTGTTACTGCAGGCGCTTATGGGGCAGCCTCTCGCAGCCCCCTAGTTCCCAGCGCCATGACTGCAAAGGAGCGCCTGAATTGGCAGAACGGCCTGCGGTCGAGCCCCGCGCCGGCGAAGAAGAACGCGCGGCCGTCGTCGCGCCGCGGCAAGGCGCCGCCGCTGTCCGCCTACGGCGGTCTGAGTAGCGCGCGGCGCCGCCGGTCGCCGTCGCTGAAGTCGTCGCTGCACGAGGACGCGGCGCGCGCCGCGGCGCGCGCGCTGCGGCCGGGCACCGCGGAGCACCGGCACCCGATGCCGCTCGACCTCGCGCGGACGCTGCTGGACGAGATGTGGAGCCGCGCGACGGCTTCCCGGGGCTGCGGCACCCTGGGGACGACGCCGAAGCTCCGCGCGACGCGGGTCAACGACACCTGGAGCCCCTACGAGCACGCGCTCCCGGAAAAGGCCGTGCAGGAGGCCATGGCCGTGCTCGACGTCCGCGGCGTCACGCCGGAGCACCAGCGGTGGCTGCTGCAGCTCCTGCTGCGCGTCGAGGCGGACCCGCTCCTCGACTGGCGCGCCAAGCTTCAGCGCCTCGACCGCTACCTCGTCGCGCCCATCGCCTTCGCCGGGAGCCCGGACGCGTACCGCGACTGGGCGCCCCACGGGCCCTGGGACGCGGCGGACGCGTACTCGCCCGCGACCAAGTCGCTCGTCGCCGGCACCTACGGCCGGGACGCGACGCCGCCCGAGGCGCGGCCCGACGCCGCGGCGATAGGACCGCGGTCCGCGGCGGCGGCGCGGCCCGAGGCGGCGGCGAAGACGCCCGCGACGTCGCGCCGCGCCGCGTCGCCGCCCGCGACGGCCGCGGCGGCGACGGCCGCGGCGGCGACGCCGGGCTCCTCCGTCCGCCGCGAGCTCTCCTTCGACGTCACGACCGAAAAGCCGCCGCCGCGGCGCGCCGTCTCCGTGCGCTTCGACCCGCCGCCGCCGCCCGTGCCCGGAGCTTCGACCCGCCGCCGGCCGCGCGCTTCGAGCCCGTCGCGCGCGTGTCCGCCGAGGAGCCCCTACCCGCCGCGCCGCCGCCGCCCGCGCCGCCGAAGCGCCCCGACGCCGCGCCGCCGAAGCCCGCGCCGCCGAAGAGCCCCTACGCGGCGCCGGTCCGGAGCCCGCCGAGGAGCCCGCCGCCGGACGTGAGCCGCCTCGCCGCGCGCCGCGCGAGGGCCGCGGCCGAGGCCCGGGCCGCCCCGGAGCTCCCCGCGCCGGCGCGGTCCGAGGATCTCGAAAGCCGGCGGGCGACGCGCGACGGCTTGGAGCGGTCCGAGGAGCTCGAAAGCTGGCGGGCGACGCACGATAGCTTGGACCGGTCCGAGGAGCTCGAAAGCTGGCGGGCGACGCACGACAGCGTCGGCGGCGAGCTGCCGCTCACGCCCGGGCAGCGCGCGATCCGGTTGCTCTGGCCCGACGGCGACGCCTCCGACGGCCGCGCGTTCGACGCGCCGTGGACGGCGACGGAGAAGATCGCCTCGGTCATGCGGACGGCGAACGCGTCGACGCGGCGCGCGTCCCTGGGGCCGGGCTTCGCGGAGCCCGCGGCGCGGCGGCGCGAGCGGAAGCCCGCCGCCGAGCCGCCGCCGACCGGGGCCGCCGCGGCGCCGAAGATCGTCGACGAGATGCGCATCCTGGCGCTGATGAAGCGGAGCGCCCTCGTGCTGCCCATGGGCGCGCTGCTCCTCTGGCGGGGCACCGTGCGCCGCGCGCGGAACCGGGCCCTCCTCGACGCGCGCGCGTCGGCGTCGCCGCCGGGGTCGCCGGGCAGCGACGACGACGGCTTCCACGCGTCGATCCTCACGGCCGCGACGAGCCGCATGTTCGACGACGTCATCCTGAGCCGCGTCTACGTCGCCTGGCGCACGCACGCGGCGAAGATGGTGCTCTGCGACGAGCACTGCGCGCGGACCCTCGCGCTCGGCGCGCTCGCGCGGCTCGGGGCGAACCGCGACCGCCGCGTCGCGCGGCGCCGCGCGCGCGCGGCGACGCGCGCGTCGAGCCTGCTGCGGCGCGCGGCGGACCGGCGGGCCTACGCGGCGCTGCGGGCCGCGGCGAAGGTCGCGCAGGCCCTCGCGCGGGGCCGCGCGGCGCGCCGGGCCTACGCGGCCGCGCGGCGCGCGGCCGTCGCCGTCGAGGCCGCGGCGCGCGCGGCGGCGGCGCGGCGGCGCGTGCGCGCCCTCCGGGAGCGGCGCAGACGGGCGGCGACGACCGTCCAGGCGCGCGTCCGGCGCCGCGCGGCCGCGCGCGCCTACGGCGTCCTCCGGCGGAGGGCCGTCGACGTCCAGGCGCGCGCGAGGCGGGCCGCGGCGCGGCGGGCGTACGCGCGCGCGATCGCCGCGGCGACGGCCATCGCCGCGCTCGGGCGGAAGCTCGCGCCGCGGCGGCTCCGGCGCGCGGCGCTCCGGGCCGCCGTCGCCGTCCAGGCGCGCTGGCGCGCGACGCTGGCGTCGACGGGCTTCGCGGGCCTCCGCGCGGCCGCGATCGCCGTCGAGGCGCTCGTCCGCCGCGGCCTCGCGGTCCTGGCCTACGGCCGCAAGCGCCGAGCGGCGACGGCGCTCGCGTGCGCGGCGCGCCTGCGGGCCGCGGTCGCCGCGCTCCGCCGCGCGCTCCGCGCGGCGACGGCGGTCGCGACCGCCGCGCGCGGCCGCCTCGCGGCCGACGCCTTCGCGCGGGCCGCGCGCCGCGTGCTCGCCGCCCAGGCCTTCGCGCGGGCCGCCGCCGCCGCGCGCCTGCGCCGCGCGCTCGCCGCGGAGAGGGCGCGGCGCGTCGCGGCGGCGACGGCGCTCGAGGCGCGCGCGCGGCGCCGGGCCGCGCGGCGCGCGCTGCTGCGGGTCCGCGCCGCGGCGACCTTCGCCGCGGCCGCGGCGCGGCGGGACGCGGCGGTGCGGAACTTGAAGCGCTGGCGCGCGGCGTGCGTCGCCGCGCAGCGCTTCCGCCGCGGCGCCGCGGCCGCGGCGCGCCTCCGCGCGGCCCTCGCCGCCGCCCTGCGGCTCGAGACGTCCGTCGGCCGCGCGCTCGTCGCCCGGGCCGCGGCCGCGGTGCGGCGCCGCGCCGCCGACGCGGTGCGGAGGTGGACGCGGAGCCGCGCGTGGCGCCGGCGGCGCGCGCGGCGGCGGCTCCAGGCCCTCGCGCGCGCGCGAAAGGCGCGACGTGATCGCGCCGAGGCGCTCGGCGCGGCGGCGACCATGGCGCGGACCTGGCGCTGCGCGCTCGCGCGGCGCCGCGCGCTCGCGCGCGCGGCCGCGGGCGCCGCGCTCCGCCGCGCCGCCGCGCGCCACCTCCGGCGGCGCCTCGACGCCGCGGCCGTCGGCGCGCAACGGCGCGCGCGGGGGATCGGCGCGCGGCGGCGGCTCCGCCGCGGCGCGCGGGCCGTCGTGCGGGTGCAGGCGTCCGCGCGGCGCCGGTCGGCCGGTCGCCGCTTCCGCGACGTCCTCGGCCGCGCCGCGCGCCTCGAGGCCGCGGCCCGCGGCTTCCTCGCGCGGCGCCGCGGCGCCCGGCGAAACGCGGCCGCGGTCTGGCTCCAGGCGGCCGCGCGCGTGACGCTCGCGCGGCGCGCGGCGAAGCGCGCGCGGCTCCGGGCCCGGAGCCGCGACCGGCGCCTCGGCCGCTTCCAGGCGCTCGTCCGCGGCCACGCGGTGCGCGTACGCGTCGCCGCGCGGCGCCGCGTCGCCGCGAACCTCCAGAGGCGCGCGCGCGCGAAGGCGGCCGCGAAGCGCGTCGCCGCGTCGCGGGCCACCGCCGCCGCCGCGAAGCGCGTCGCCGCGGCCGTCGTCGTCGCGGCGGCCGCGCGCCGTCGCGCGGCGGTGGCGCGCCTCGGGGTCGCGCGCCGCGGTGCCGTCGGCCTGCAGGCGCTCGCGCGGGGCGCCGCCGCGCGGTCCCGGTACGCGGCGCGGCGCGCGGCGGCGATCGCGCTCGAGGCGCTCGCGCGGCGGCGGCTCGGCGCGCGGCGCGCGCGGGACCTGCGGCTCCTCGCGGCGCTCGAGCGGCGCGCGCTCCGCGACGATCTAGGGCGGGCGGCGCTCGCGCGGATCCGCGCCGCGGCCTTCGAGCGGCGCGCGCGGCGGCGCCGCGACCGCGACGCGCGCCAGGGCCTCGACCTCTGGCGCCTGGGCCGCGCGACGACGTGCTGGCGCGACGCGGCCCTCGCGCGCCGCGACAGATGGGCCGCCGTGCGGGGGCTGCTGGCCGCGGCCGCGCGGCGCGGCGCCGCCCGGGCCGTCGCCGCGTGGCGGGCCGCCGCGCTCCGGGCGACGGCGCGGCGCGACCGCGCGCGGAAGCGGCGGGCCGTCGCGCGGCTCCGCGACGCGTCCCGCGCCGCGCGCGCGGCGCGGGGGCGGAACCGCGCCGTCGCGCGCGCGGCGCTCTACGCCTGGCGCCGCGCGCGCGTCGAGAGCGAGCGCGACGGCCGCGAGACGCGCGCCGCGGACGCGCACTTCCGGTCGAACCTCCTCCAGCGCGTCTTCTCGAGCTGGTGGCTCTGGGTCGTCGGCTGGAGCGAGGCCCTCGTCCGCGCGGGGCTGCCCCGGGACAAGGACGTCTTCGCGCTCCGCCTCGAGGACGCCGCGGACCGCGCCGCGGGGCCCTTCTTCTACCCGTCGCCCATCAGCCCGCTGTAACGACGCCCCTCGCTAGGCGCGGGTGCGGTTCAGTTCGAGGACGCCGTTCCAGGCGAGGCAGGTCGAGATCGTCGGCGGCGCGCCGCGGACGACCGCGCCGAACTCCTTGTCGCAGAGGTCCTTGCTGTTCAAGTTGAAGGTGCCGGCCGAGGCGACGACGCTGATTGCCGCTCGCCTCGCTCGACGTCCGAGCTCATCGTGTGCACCTCGCTCGTCACCGCGCGGTGTGCTCGCGCGCTCGTCACCGCGCGGTGTGCTCGCGCCCTCTTCACCACCGCGAGGCACCGCGCGCCATGCTGCGACGGCTCGCGCTCGCCGCGCTGGCGACGCTCTGCGCCGAGTCGCTGCCGCTGCGGCGGCCGGGGTGGCTCGCCCGGCCGGGGTGGCTCGCCGTCCGCGGCGGCGGCCCCGTGCCCGGCACGATGCCGAACGCGACGGACTCGTCGAATCCGTCGGCGGTCGTGAACACGAGCGCGAGCGGCGCGGACGGCGCCGTCGCCGCGGCCTCGACGGCGGCCCCCGCGTCGACGCGGTCGGCGACGAAGGCGACGAAGAAGAAGGTCGCGGGGCGCGCGGCCGCCAAGAAGCCCGCGGCCGCCGCGTCGCCGAAGAAGAAGAAGGCGAAGAAGCCCGCGGCGGCGGCGGCGCCCAAGGCGTCGGCGTCGGCCGCCGCCGCGCCGGCTGTGCCCAAGGCGCCCAAGGCGCCGGCGTCGGAGGCGCCGGCGGCGCCCAAGGTATCGGCCACCAAGGTATCGGCGCCCAAGGCGACGAAGCGCAAGGCGCCGCGGAAGCCCAAGGCCGCGACGTCGGGCCCGGCGGGCTTCGCGAAGCCCAAGGCGCCGGTGTCGAAGCCCAAGCCGAAGGTCGCCAAGCCGGCCGCGGCCGAGGCCGCCGCGGCCGCGGCCGCGCCGAAGAAGGTCGCGGCCCCGACCACGCCGAAGAAGGTCGCGACTCCGACGCGGCCGGCGCCGTCGCCGAAGGCGGAGGCGTCCGCGCCGGCGCCGCGGCCGCCGCCGCCCGCGCGGCCGGCGCCGCCGAAGCCCGAGCCGCGCGCCGCCGCCGCGCCGCCTGCGGCCGCGTCGTCCGCGCCGCCCGCGGCCGCTTCGTCCGCGCCGGCGCCGCCCGCCGAGGCGGTACCGCCGCCGCCGGCCGCGGCCCCGGCGGCCGCCGCGCCGCCCATGGCCGCCGCGGCCGCCGCGGTCGGCGGGCTCGCCGCGTTCGCCGCGCCGCCCGCCGGCGCCGCGCCCGTCGCCGCGCCGATGTCCGCCGAGGACGCGGCGGCGCGGCAGGCCATCGCGGCGGCGGCCGCCGCGTCGGCCGTCGCGCCGATGCCCGAGAAGCACGACGCCAAGGGCATGGCGCGGCGGGCGGCGAAGAAGGCGCTCAAGGGCAGCTTCGCGACGTCCGCGGCGCTCGCGTGCGCCGTCGCGACGCGGGCGGCGCCCCAGGCGAACGCCGTCGCCATCGGCGCGACCATCGGCGCCTTTTGCCGCACGTTCGTCGCGTTCTACTACGCCATCGCGCTCTCCGTCGTCGCCCATTGGAACCAGGAAGCCGCGGACGCGATCGACGCGACCGCGCCCCCCGCCGGAGGCGCCGCCGCCGCGGCATAAGGTTCGTTTCGTGCGCGAGTTTAGGACCGCGCGCGCGTGCTGCGCCTCGACGACGACCGCGGGAGGGTCCCCGATCGCGGCGGCCCGTACCGCCGCGGCGACGCGGGCGGCGATCCCGGCGGCCCCGGCGGCGACGCGAAGACGACGCCCGCGCGGAACGCGAGGCAGGCGACCACGACGCAGAGCAGGACCTGGGCGAGGAGCACCGCGTGGCCGAAGCGCGGCGGCTCGTGGATCGTGCGGGGCCCGCCGCAGGGCGCGGGCGCCGCCGGCGCGGCCTTCTTAGCGCCGCCGCCGAACTTCTTCCCGGCGCCCTTCGTCGACGGCACCTTCCCGGGCGCGATCTTGGCCCGGGCGTCGGCGATCTTGTCCCCGGGCGCGGCCTTGGGGACCTTGATGACCGGCGGGCCGTAGGCTTGGCAGTACGCGGCCTCGCGCGCGCGCCACTCGCCGTGCGACCGCTCGCAGAGGCCGACGTAGCGGTCGCTGGGCTTTTTTTTCCCGGTCGCCATGGGCACGGCCGGGTTCTTGCCGCAGGCGCCCGTCGACGGCTTGCCGCAGGCCGTGAAGTGGACGAGGCACGGGTCCGCGCCGTCCGCGGGCTCGTCCTGGAGGCCGTTGTAGACGTCGCGCGGCAGCCGCAGGCCCCCGGGCCGCGACGTGCGGTAGAACCAGTCCCAGAGGCCCTGGGTCACGTGGCGCGCGTTGCAGCCGCCGGCGGACGCGCATCCGCCCTCGCCGCGCCAGCCCGTCGCGTCCGTGAAGTTGCCCTCGCGGACGACGGCGACGAGGTGGCGGAAGTCCTCCTTCCGCGGCTCCACGACCACCAAGCCGGCGTTGAAGGGCGCGTGGGGCCCGTCGCTGTGGCTCCCCTCGGGCAGCCAGAAGAGGTGGTCCACGTTGCCGCGCACCATGATGTCCGCGTCCAGGAAGACGACCTTCGCGTAGTCGATCAGTTGGTGGACCCGGAGCTTCACGAAGTCCGACAGGCCGTTCCGCACCTCGCCCTCGCCGCGGCGGCCGGCCTTGTTCACGAGGGGGTGGTTCCGGTAGGGCGCGCTGAGCTCCCAGGGCTGGATGGGCAGCTTCGTGTCCATGAGCCGCACGCCCAATCTCCGCAGGCCCTCGTCCTTGCCGAGGCCGCACTTGACGCAGAGCAGGACGAACTCGCCCGTCGTGTTCGTCAGCTTCAACGTCGTGAAGAGCACGCCGGCCTGGATCACGTACTTGGGGTTGCTGTCGACGTGCGTCACCCAGGCCGTGCGCGCGCTCGCGTTCCAGGGTTTAAGAGGCGCGCCCGCGAGGTGCGCGGACCCGCAGACGGCGGGCAGGTCGTCGAGCGACGCGTTCGGCGCGGCGCGCACGAGCGCGGCGAGGGCGACGACGGCCCAGCGGGTGGTCATCGTCCTATGCCGGGAGACGCGATCTCGCCATCGTGTCGGCTGCCCCGAGATGCCGCCCCGCAGCTAATATTGCACATCAAGTGGCAGTGGTTTTAATTGTGGTTCTGTCGCTCCCCGGAGCCCGGCTGCCCCGACCATCCTGTTCGCCCCCGCCTCGAGATCACCATGAAGACCGCCATCCTCCTCGCCGCCGGCGCCTCGGCCTGCTTCGACAACGACTGGCTCATCAACGTCAGCGGCTCCGTCGAGAACGCCGCCTCCTGCCCCGGGTCCACGGACGGCGAGGTCTGCGCGCCGGACGGCTCGTCGAACTACCACTCCTGGAGCGGCACCTACGACGCGTCCACGGGCAAGTTCACGGGGACGATGACGACGAACCTGTGCGCGAACGACCACTGGGGGTTGTACGAGGGCGACACGTCGCGGCGCCCGCGTCCCTCGCTCGCCTCGCGCGCGCGGCGGCACCCTCGCTCCCTCAGGTTCATGCCCTACGCGAACCACACGGCGCGCTGCACGGAGCAGACCTTCCCGGCGCCGGACTACGCCTCGGACCCGCCCCACGCGGCGCCGCTCCGCGGCCGCGTCGGCATGACGCTCAACGGCGTCAACATCTACGGCCCCGAGGAGGCGGGCTTCGGCGTCGGCATGAACCCGGAGCCCTGCGCCGACGGCTCGGGCTCCTGCTGGGCCGGCGTCGACGTGCCGACCTGCGAGTTCTCCCTCGACATCACCTGCAACGGCACGGAGAACGTGAACCACGGCCTCATGCTCGACACGTGCGGCGGCCACGCGCTGCCCTGCGCGTCTTCCGGCGTCTTTTTTTCTTTGGCGCTTGAAGACGCGCCGTCGCCGTAGACCACTACCACAACGACATGGGCTGCGACTACGACCACACGGTCCAGGCGCACTCGCCGCTCATCGGCGTGTCGCTCGACGGCTACGGCGTCTACGGCCTCTACGAGGGCTTCGAGGACGGCAACCAGACCAGGCCCGACGAGCGCGCCCGCGGCGTTTCCCAAGTCGCGCGTTTTGGAAAAGACATCCGCCCCCGCCGCAGCCTCGACGCCTGCAACGGCCACACGCACGGCGTCCCCGCGAACTCGACCTACGGCGTCGACGAGGGCACGGTCTACGCGCGCCGCCGGCGTTTTCCAAGGTTCGCGTTTTCCCGAGGCATCCGACCCCTCCGCAGCACTACCACACGACGTCCTGGGCGCCCTACACGCTGGGCTGCTACGGCCCCGTCGATTCCCAGGCGACGTGCAAGACGCTCTACCAGGACGGCGGCGGCTCGGGCCCCGCCGAGCACGGCCAGTGCGACAAGGAGATCCTGCCCATCTACACGCCCGAGGTGCCCGAGGGCTACTGCTACGACACGGACTGCCCGTGCTTCGACGGCGACACGGACCGCTACTCGCGCAACACGGACATGCGCGGACCCGCGGCGTCGCTTTTGCTTCTTCGCGAAACGCGGGACGCCCCCTCGCAGGAAGATCTCCGAGTGCGCGTGCTACGACCGCTGCGACACCGTCTCCTCGGGCTGCAAGCACACCTGCGACGTCCTCGTCAACCAGATGGGCTACAACTGCTCCGAGCTCTACGCGCCGGGCATGAAGTACGAGGGCTGGTGCGACAAGACGTGCGGCTACGCGAAATGCGCCTAGAGCGCCGCGCCGCGCGGGCCGCCGCGCCCCACATCGGCGCCGCGCCCCGACCTCCCGACGCCGCTCCTCCTCCGGAAGCCCGCGCGCGGGAATTATGCTCTTTTTTATGGGAATTATGCTCTTTTTGGGGGGGTTGGTGTCGCGGGTCTCACCGGGCCGCGGCCGCGGCCTGGACCGCGGCCATGTGCGGCGGGCCGTCGTACTTGTCGAAGGATTTGTCGAAGGATTTGTCGAAGGACCGGCGCGGGCGGCGGCGCGCGTCCTGGAGCATCGTGCGGCGGTTGCGCGCGTTGATCGACAGGGTCGCGTCGCCGCAGGCCTTGAGGGCGCGCTTCTCCGCCGCCAGCTTCTCGCGCGCGAACTCGACCGTGAGCAGGTCGCGCTTCGAGGGGCGGAACATGAATCGCTTCGGCGCGCCGGTTTCGTCGATGACGCGCACGAGCACGCCGTCCTCGAGGAACTCGGGCTCCGCCGAGTAGTCGAGCTTGGACGTGCCGAGGGCCTCCTGCGGAGCGGGGCAGCGTCGGTGGGCGGGGAGCGATGGGGAGCGATGGGGCAGCGGTAGAGGCGGCGCGGGGCAGCGTCGATGGACGGGAGGCGCGGGGAGCGATGGGGCAGCGGTAGAGGAGGCGCGGCGCACCTTGAGGGGCTGCGGGATGGGGGTGTTCTTGGAGGATGCGCCGGCGCCCATGATGATTGCGGTTGTTGCTTTGATTTGGTTTTGTTCTGCCGCTCTCCGAGAGATCCGCCATTGGCAAAAGCCCAGGAATTGCGCGAAAGTTTGAGGCAGGTTTGTTGCACGGCACGAAACGTGGTGAAGCGAGGCATGGGCAGCTCTCGCAAGGCGAGAAGATAGCGATGCGACGATGGAAGGTCAAAGCCAAGGGCGCCATCGTCCGCGAAGCCGCCGCGCTGGACTCGGCCAAAGTCGGCACCTTGCAAGCCAAGCAGGCCTGCGCGAGCGACGCGTCGTGCTACGTCGACGGCAAGGAGCGCGTGCGCCTCGTGGAACCGTTGGCGGGCTGGGTGTCGACGAAATGCCTGGCGGCCGTGCGCGAGCCTGCGGCGGACGCGGACCGCACCATGGTCGACGCGCGCGGCCGCGGCCTCGCGGACGTGGCGTCGTCGGGCGCCGACGCGTCCACGAAGTGCCTCTGGCTCGACAACAACGCCATCGAAACCGCGGACGTGTCGGGCTGCCCCGGGCTCGAGACGCTCGTGCTGACGAACAACCGCGTGGCGACAGTCGTCGGCGCGCTCGACGAGCTGCGCGAGTTCGTCGCCAACGGGAACGCGCTCGCGGCGCTGCCGGGCGGCTTGGGCAAAGCGCGCGACATCGTCCTCGACGACAACGCGCTGGCGGCGCTGCCGGAGGCGCTCGGCGACCTCGGCGAGCTCCAGACGTTGTTCGCGCAGCGGAACGAGATCGCGTCGCTGCCCGCGGCCGTCGGCGCGCTCGGCCGTCTGCAGACGCTGGGCCTCGCGGGCAACCTGCTGTCGCGCGTGCCGCGGGAGCTCGGCCGCGCGACGCATCTGCGCCGCCTCGAGCTCCGACACAACCGCCTCGCGGCGCTCCCCGACGAGCTCGGAGACCTCGCGCTCCTGGAAGCGCTCCTGTTGGACCACAACCGCCTCGCGGCGCTCCCGCGGCTCGACAGGCTCGACCGGCTCGAAGTCTTGGACTGCGCGCGGAACGAGCTTAAGAGCTGCGAGCTCGCGGGCCTGACCCGCCTCCGCGATGCGAGCTTGGACGACAACCGCCTCGCGGCGTGCCCCGAGACGCCGCCGAGCCTCGCGCGGCTCTGGCTCCACGGCAACGGCCTCGCGGCGCCGCCCACGCGGGCCCGCTGCTACGTCGAGCGCGGCGACGGCGCGGTCCTCGGCGCCGGGGTTGCGACGCTGCCGTTTCGGAACTTCGCGGCCGCGAAGCGCGCGCGCCACTGCGTCGTCGCCTTTGGGGTCGAGCGGCTCGGCGAGTGGGGCGGCGTGCTCCACCGCGCGCGGCCCGACGTCGACGCGGGCTTCGTCTTCGACTCGCGGCGCACGGGCTACGCGGACGCGGGCGGCTTCCGGTCCTGGCTCGAGACGCTCGCGGACACCTACGACGTGCTGAGCTTCGTGGGCAGCTCCCAGGGCGCCTTCGGGTGCCTACGCCACGCGGACGTCGCGACGGGCGCGGTCCTCGCCTTCTCGCCCATGCGCCACGACTGCAACGTCCCCGCCGTCGACTGGCAGGCGACGTTCCCGCCGCTCGCGGGCGGAGGAGCCGCCGTCCGCGTCGTCGTCGGAAAAGCGCACGCGCGCGACGTCCGCGCGGCGCGCGAGCTCCGGAGCGCGCTCGGCCCGGCGGTGGCGGTCGTCGAGCTCGACTCCGCGGGCCACGGCGCGGACATGCTGATTCCCGACCGGGCGGCGCTGGACGCGTACGTGCGGGAGGGGCTGCCGAGGTAAACTTAGGGGGGTTCGACTACGCGCCGATGCAGAAGAGCGCCGTGTCGGCGTGCGCGCAGCCCGCTTCGAGCAGGTCGGCCCGGTGCCAGTGGGCGCAGTTCGCGCAGTCGCTGATGTGCTTCGTCGTGCCGTCGCGTTCCAACGCGCCGCACGCGGAGGTCAGCGCGGCGCCGCACGCCGCCGTCGCGTTGGCCACGGCCTTGCAGTTCCCCTGGCTGCACAGGTTCATGAGCGCGTCCGCGGAGGCCTCGCCGTGCCACGACGGCGCGTCGTCGCCCCAGGACGCGTCGGCCTGGACGCCGTCGCCCGACGGGTCGATGAGGTACATGTTCCAGCTCCACAAATGGTAGCGGGTCCAGTTGCGCTTCTCCATCGCGGCGATCATCTGGCCGAGCGTGACGACGCGCTGGTCGATGCCCCAGTGGTTGTCGAACCATTTGTCGACGCCGCAGAGCGCGCCCGCCCGCTCCGTCGACGCCGCGACGACGTCGTGGGACGCCATCTTGAGCGCCTCGAGGCCTTGGACGGTCAGATCGCCGTACGTCGCGTCGTCGCCCGTCCGCTCGACGAGGCGCACCTGCATGTTCGCTTGCTTGGGGAAGTACAGCGTCTTGAGTCGCACGTTTTCGACTGCGTCGTCCGAGCTCGCGACCTCGGCGCCGAGCACGGCTTCGTAGAACGCGACGAGGCCGTCGAGGTCCGAGACGGATTTCGAAACCGCCAAGGGCGTCCAGACGCCGTCGTCGTCGGCCGAGCACTTGTTGTGCTCGCAGCTGCCCGTCGCGGGGTAGCGCATGAGCGGGTCGCGCCGGACAACGCCCGTCGCGGGCTTCTTCTGCGAGATGATCTCGACCTGGACCTGGGTGCCCGGGACATGCGCGATGGCCGAGTACCAAGTTTTGTTGGAGTTGTCGATCCACTCGAGGAGCACGGAGCCGTCGGCCCACGCGTCGAGCGACGACGCGTGCACGACCAACGAGAAGTCGAGGAACGCGTCGTAGGCGCCCGCGGCGAGCGCGTGCGCGTACTTGGCGTCGAACGCGGCCTCGACGGCCTCGACGGAGACGTCGCCGATGGGACGAGCGGACGCGTTGATCATGTGCGGGAACATGAACGCGTCGCCCGGGCCCGGCGAGATCGCGCACTCCTTGTTCGGGCAGAGAGACGTGCGGCCGATCAAGCCGCAGTCTTGGATGCCATTGCAGATGCTGTCGTTGCCGGGCGTCCGGCAATCTTGCACGGGCTACTTGCCTTCGTCGAGCACCCAATCAAGGGCTTTCAACGGGTTCGACACCGCCATCGTGTACTTGGCAATGCCATTGGCGGGGCTCTGCGCTGCCGCGTGTCCAACGAGGACGACGAGAGCGATTGCACACTTGCGAGGGCCGCCCATACTCTGCGATCTACTGCGACGAGTATGGTCAAGGCAGCCCCGCAAAAAAGAACCAATCGGCGTCGCCCAGCCTGATGCATATTGCCCTTCACAATAACGTGCTCTCCGGTTTTTGAAGGTGTTGTGCTCTCCGATGGGGCTGCCCCTCCTGCTAGGCGTTGTCGCTACCGCACACGCGCTAGCACCAAACACCTGGGATCGCGCGCCCGTGTTCATCCACACGAACTACCACGACGTGCCTCTCACGGAGCGCGAGCTTGTGGAATTGAAGCGCTTCGACCTCATTACCTTGGAAAAGAACCAGGGCGGCACCGGGCCAGACGTCGTCGCGCGCATCGTCGCGGCGGCGAAGCAGCTCAAGGCGGTCACGGATGCGCCCGTGCTCATGTACACGAATCTTCTGCTCGACTGGCCGCAGTTCGCGACGCTGCACGAAGAGTTCGCGGCCAACGCGGCCGACTGGCGACTCGAGGACGCGCGCGGCGCGGTCGTGAGTGTCAAAAAGTCGGGCCTCGACATGGCGTGCTTCGACCAGGCGAACGCGTCGATGCGAGCCGCCTGGAAGCGGCAGTGCGCCGACGCCGTCGCGACGGGCGCGCTCGACGGCTGCTTCGTCGACCGAGCCGCGCAATACCAGTACGGCTGCAACGCAAGAAAAAGGACGAACGGCGGGAAACCGCTCATCTCCAACGCGTCCTGCGACGCCTACGCGCTGGCCCAGACGGAGCTGCAGGCGGAGGTCGGCCTCGTGATTTCGAACTGCGGCAGCCAGGCGGACGTCGCGGCGTGTCCGCCGACAGGCGTCGCAGGAGTCATGTTCGAATTCTGGTGCGACGTCGCCGACGGGACATCCAAGAACTGGCCGGGCATGGGGCCGCCGGAATCCACGTGCGCGGACCTCGTCAAACAGGCGGCGGCGCTCGGCGACGACCACGTCGTGCTGATTCATCGAGGCGTCGGTGCGGCGAACAACGCGACGTATTCGTACGCGGCGTTTCTTTTAGCGGCGGGCAACTACTCCAAGTTCGGCGACGGCGCGTGGGCCGGCGACTGGATCTGGCTCGATGCCTACGATCGACCGCTCGGGGCTCCCAAAGGCTCCTACTACGTCGCGGGCGACGACGCGCTCGTGCTCCGGCGGGACTTTGAGCGCGTCGGCGTCGTCGTGGACACGAGGAATAGTATCGCATGGCTAAACTACGTCACCTAGGCTTACGCAGGATCGCGAGGCACGCCTCGGCCTTTTCGCGCGTGAGCCCCGCGGCCGGGTCGAATCGTTGGATGGGGCCGTCGCCGGGCAGGTAGTCGTCGCTCATCATGAGCGTTTGGACGACGCGGTCTCCGAGACCGCAGCTTTCGAAGGATTCCATCCATTCGTCGTCGATGATCACGAAGGACTCCACGTCTTTTCCGTCGAGGTATTCGAGGACCTCCTGTCCGCGACCTGAATTCCGGTGGATCGGCGTCGCTCCGTCGACCGCGACGCCGACCTTCTCGAGCTGCGCTTTCAAGAAGCCGACGAGCACGGGATCCTCCCTCCAAGTCGACGACAAAATGACGCTCGCGCCGGCCTCTCGGACGACGTAGCTCAGATGTTCCAGGCACGCGCGCTCCAGAGGCGGCGCGGCATCGGCGCTCTCTCCGAGGCACAGGAGGCCCTCCTTTTCGAGCTCGTGAGCAGTCGCATTGCCTTCAGCGACTTGAGAGCGCCACAGCGCTAGGACGCCGTCCACGTCTAAGAAGATGAGGCGCACCATTGTTGCGCAGGTTTTAGGCAGCCATGCCCGGGGCAGCAACACGAATTGTTGAGCTACAACATCCAGGCTGCCCCGACTCTCCATTACTCTCCGACGATCGAGGACCAGAGAAAGTCCCCCTTGAGCGCACGATGGCGTCGCTCGTGGAGGCCGCCCCCGGGGAGGAGAAGCCGAAGCGCAAGGTCAAGTACGCGTCGGGCTTCTTCGCCGGCGTGGGCAACAACAAGCCCGTCCCCAAGGAGAAGGCCGCGGCCGACGCCCACCCGGACACGGTCTGCGGCGTCTGCGGCGCCGCGGACTCCTACAGCCGCTGCGGGCGGTGCCAGAAGGTCGTCTACTGCGGGCCCGAGTGCCAGGAGTACGACTGGTGGCGCCACAAGAAGACGTGCATCCCCTGGGACTACAAGCCCATCCCCGCCGCGGAGCAGTCGACGATCTGCCCCTACTGCCAGCGCGAGGTGAAGATGAAGGACCTGGGGCTCCACATGGACAGCGACTGCGGCAAGTACCTCGACGTCATGCTCGGGCGCAAGCCCATGCCGCCCATGGACGGCCCGGACCCCGCGGACGACGACGGGAACGACGAGCCCGAGGTCGAGTGGGTGCCGAGCCCCAAGGACCCGAGCGTCAATTTGGTCAAGGGCGGCCCGCCGCCGCGGGAGCGCAAGGGCAAGGACGGCGGCCCCGTGGCGCCGCCGAAGCGCGACCGGCGCCGCGAGCGCTTCAAGAAGGACCTGAACCCCGTCTACCCGGGCCTCGAGGGCAAGACGCAAAAACCGCTCAGCGAGCGCGAGCGGCCCGCGGACGCGGCCGCGGGGCGCCTCAACCCCTTCTGGGACTTTGTGGACGAGTACCCGACGACGGCGCGGGGCGCCATGCTCATGGGCTGGTGCCGCCACCGCCACCGCGCCATGAAGGACGAGGACCTCATCGACCGGCCGAACCGCGGCGAGAACGCGACGGCCGAGCGCGCGGAGGCCGCGAAGCGCCACCACCGGCGCATCGAGGCCAACGAGAAGATGGTCCAGAAGCTCCGCCACGCCATCCAGGAGCGCAACGTCTTCAAGCTCGGCGAGGTCTGCGACGAGACGAACTACTGGTTCACGCCGCGCGAGGCCAAGTTCTGGCACGAGGACATCGCCATGGCCCACGGCAAGCTCAAGGAGTACGAGTCGAACATGAAGCTCTGCGTGACGGACTCCATGTGGAAGGCCTACAGCGACCTCCGCAAGGTCCAGCACAGGGCAGCACAAGAGAGCGAAATTCCCAACTTCAAAGGCTCCGATCTCGGCCATTTTCCACTCGTTTCGGCTGATTTTTGGACGAGCGATCATCTCTCGGAACGGTCTCGAAGCGCGAATGCTTTTTCGGAACGCGCGCGCACGGAACACTCACGTTGAAGTGACGTTGAATCACTCTTGTGCTGCCCAGGTCCAGCAGCGCATCGTCAACGCGTACCGCGAGGAGGACCGCGAGATCACGGGCAAGCTCCGCCCGGGCATGGAGAAGATGCTCAAGGACGTCCAGGAGCTCTTCGAGTCGACGCAGGTCGGCGCCGTCGGCCGCATGGCCGGCTAGGGAGGGGGGCCGGGCGTCCGCCGTCGGCGGTCGCGCGGCGACCATAATATCAAAGCCACTCGGGAACCTTCCGCGACGGCAAGCCACATCACTACATTAGCCGGCGCTCATATTTCACCCCGGGAACAACGCGACGGCCCGTGCAACATCCACTACACTGTTAGAGCTCGCCGGCGCTCGCGGCGGACGCGGCGGCGGCGACGGTCTCGGACGCGCCCATGCGCGTCGCGACGAGGGGCACGTTCGTCTCGTTGCGCGGCTGGTAGCCGTTGAACTCCGGGTTCGTCTTGATGCGGTAGACGGCGTGGAGCACGTCGAAGTCGACCATGACGTCGAGGCCGTCGCCGCACGGCGCGGCCGCGGGCTTCACGCGGACGGCCGTCCGCGTGTTGTCGATGGTGTTGACGACGCCCGTCGCGTTCTCGGGCCTGTCCGGCACGGTTTTGAAGAGGGTCACGAGCTTGTCCTCGCCCGGCCGCACCACTCTCACGAGCGCGGGGTCGCCGGCCGTCTCCGACGCGACGCAGTCGCCCCGCCCGACGACGCTGCGGTCGACGAGGTGGAGCTCGACGGCGCCCAGGGAGCAGTCGTTCCAGAAGGACAGCTGGACCTTGTCCCGGAAGTCCTCGCCGCGCGCCTCCCACGAGCCCGGCTCGGGCTTGGGCGGTTTGGGGTGCGCGTGGAACCCGGGCGGGCACGCGCCCGTGATGGAGTCGCCGCCGCAGAGCGCGTCGGACAGCGCCGGGAAGTCCGTCGCGCTGTCGCGGTGGTCGCCGTCCGCCGCCTCGTAGATCTCCGCGAGCTCGTCGGCGACGCGGCCCCCGTAGGTCGGGAGCAGCACGCGGTTGCACAGGTTCGACTCCTCGTAGCCGCAGCCCGCGCGGAGCACGCCGAGCCAGCCGTCGCGCGTCGGCTCCTGGCCGTGCTCGAGGTTGAACTTGAGCGCCCGGGACGCGTGCTGCGCCATCTTGAAGCACTCGCTGCACGTCCGCGTGTACTCGTTCTCCTCGGCGGCGTTGGGATCCTCGGCCTGGCGCGACGGGTCGTGCTTGTCCTTGAAGGCCGTCCGCGTCGCCGCCTTCTTCTTCTTCTTCGCCGACACGGACGCGACGACGGAGACGGCGCACCAGGCGCGGAACAGGAGCACCATCGCGAGGATCCGCGGCTGCCGATTTTCTTGACGGCAACAATCAGTTCAAAACTGACCTGAGGATCTCCTCAGGGCGGGCATGGACGCCTGACCTGTCGGCTTCTCCCTTTGTAGCTGACTTCTCCCTGTTCAAACGCGCGAGCGTCGCGATGAAGCGCGCGATCAAGGACCTTCAAGATTTTAATGGCAAGGGTGCCACGGAACAGGCGCCGCTGCCGCCGCGCCGGCAGCGCGTGAAGACGAATCGCCTGTCGGACGAGAAGCCGGCGCCGCCGCCGCCGCGCAAGCGCAAGGCGCCGGCTCGGCGGCGACGCGCGACGAGCTCTCCGCGCTGGGCATCAAGGGCCTCAAGGCCCTGGCCAAGGACCGCGGCGTCGTCACCGACGGCTGCCGCGAGAAGGGCGACCTGGTCGACGTCCTGCTGGATGCGCGCGTGTACCTGCCGCGCGCGGCGGCGCCGGCTCGGGCCGCGCCGCCGCGCGCGGAACCGGCGCCGTCGCGCGCGGAACCGGCCTCCGACGACGACGACGACGAGCTCCAGTGGAACGACCAGGACTCGTCGGACGACGACGAGCCCTGGGCGGCGGACGGCGACGGCTCGGAGGAGTCGGCGCCGCGGGAGGTCACGCAGCCGTCGTCGCTGCCGTCGCCGGCGGAGGAGGACGAGGCCTCGACGGACGGCATCTCCTTCGAGGCCTTCGACGCCTTCGTCGCGGCGGGCCCGGGGAGCGACGCGGGGAGCGACGCGGAGAGCGACGGCGACGCCACGACGGAACACGCCGCCGCGACGTCGGAGGCCGCGGCGTCGGAGGAGCAGCCGGAGGCCGCGGCGTCGGAGGCCGCGCCGTCGGCGGCAGCGGCGTCGGAGGAGCAGCCGGAGGCCGCGGCGTCGGAGGCCGCGGCGTCGGAGGCCGCGGCGTCGGAGGAGCAGCCGGAGGCCGCGACGTCGGAGGCCGCGGCCTCGGAGGCCGCGGCGTCGGAGGAGCAGCCGGAGGCCGCGGCGTCGGAGGAGCAGCCGGAAGCGCCGGGGAACGAGCACCCGGAGGCGCCGGAGGACGCGTCGGAGCAGCCGGAGGACGTGGACCCCGCGGCGCTGGCGGCGGCGCGCGCGCGCGCGCCGCCGGGCGTCCGCGAGCTCTGGGAGGCGACGGGCCTCGACCTGGACGCGCAGCTCGCCGAGACCATGCGCCGCCCCGGCGACTACGACCTCGCCGCCATGGAGGCCCAGGCCGCGGAGCTCCGGACGAAGGCCCTGGGCCTCGCGTTCCTCGCGGCCGAGGCGCGGGGGCGGAGCGGCCTCTACAACGACGAGCAGCGCACGCACGCGCCGGACGTCGAGGTCCTGGCGCGGCGCGCGGCCGCGGGCACGCTCTCGCTCGCCGAGGCCGTCGTCGCGGGCAGCGGCGCCTTCGCGCACGCGTCGGCGTTCCGCAAGCTCGCCGACGAGGTCTGGAGGCACGGCGGCGGCGCGCGCTCCATCGAGGCGGCGGAGAACTGCCTCGCGGGCCACAAGGTCTGCTTCACGGGCGTCTTCGAGACCATCGGCCGCAACCGGCCGGACACGCAGGGCCACATCCGCGAGCTCACGGCGCGCTTCGGCGGCATATGCCGCGACGGCGTCACGAGCTCGACGACGGTCCTCGTCGTGGGCCGCGGCGAGAAGGGCGAGGGCGGCCACCGCGACGGCAAGGGCGAGTCGCCGACGACGTCGTCCAAGTACCGCAATGCGCTCAAGGAGAACGAGAAGCGCGGCAAGAAAGAGGCGGCCGAGCAGCGGAGCTTCGACGAACAGGCCGCGAAGATCGCCGCGAAGAAAGCGCGGAAGCCCTACGAGAAAAGAAAATACCCGGCCGTGAAGATCCTCTACGAGGACGAGTATTTGGCGTGGATCGCGACGCTCGACGGCGCGCCCGCCGCGCCCGCCGCGCCGCCCGTCGACGAGCGCACGTCGACGGCGGCGCCGAAGCAACAGCCGAGCCTGGACGAGATCCGCTACACGCCCCGGACCGGCGCGATGCACGGCCGCGGCGAGGTCGGCGCGGGCGCCCTGGCCGACGCGCTCGCGGCGCCGAAGGGCTTCACGCTCGACAACGCGCTCGTCGCGTCGGGCGAGCAGCTCGACGGCATCTTCGCGCACACCATGCTCCAGCGCTGCGCCTGCGCCGACGGCGCGGGTGGCAAACACGACGACGACGACGGCGCGGCGATGGAGTACTGCGAGTCCTACGTCACGGTCCAGTGGTCCGGCGCGGGCGGCGTCTACGACGAGCGAGGCGGCGACGCGAGCGACGGCGACGAGGTCGCGAGCCAGCGCGCGCACCGCGGCCAGTCCAAGTGGCTCGCCGCGGGCGCGAAGCCGGCCTTTTCCACGACGACGGGCAAGAAGTTCGAGGCTGCGCGGGTCATCACGTCCGACAGCCTCGACAGCGTCTGCAAAGCGCGGCGGAAGCCGGAGCTCGGCGTCCAGTACGGGCTCTTGGCGGACACGAAGCTCGGCATGGGCCAGGCGCACCAGAAGTTCTTTCTACTGAGGTTCCGGTCCACGGACGACGACGGCGCCCGGGGCGTCGTGCGCCTCGTGGTTTCGTCGGGCAACTGCGCCGCCGTCACGTACAGCAGCGCGCCGAGCCGCCAGCTCGTGGGCCTCTGGTGGGCCGACTTCGAGGAGAAGAGCGACCCGCGGCCGTCGGCCTTCCGCGACGCGCTGCTCCACCACGCGCGGGCCCTCGTCGACTCCCGGACGCCGACGAAGCACGACAAGGACCGCGAGCGCGCGCTCGAGCGCTGCGAGGCGCTCTTCGCGGCCTGCGCGCGCGCGGACTTCGCGGCGGCCGACGACGCCGACGTGCGCCTCGTGTCGTCGGTGCCGGGCGTCCACGCCCGCGACGCGGCGCTCGGCGAGGACGGCGTCCGCGCGGCCTTCGCCGAGGCCGCGGGCGGCGAGAAGCTCGACGTCGCCGTCGTCTGCCACTCCTTTGGCGGCTTCGGGGGCCCGGCGGGCGGCGAGCGGCTGCGGCGGCTCCGTGGGGCCCTGGCGCCGAACGGCGGCGCCATGGCCTTGTTTTGGCCCGAGCGCAACGACAGCGAGCTCATCGACGTCAAGCGGCGAGCACCCGACGTCGGCCAAGTGAACGCGTCGGACGAGACGCGGCTCATCGACAGGCTCCGCTCCCAAAGCTCGCTCGCGTGCCTCAAGGCGCCGCGCGACGAGCGCGCGCGCGGGAACAAGTTCGTCTGGAACCCGCACCTCATGCTCTACGTGCTCCACGACGGCCGCGGCGCGGTCCGCCGCGCGCTCCTCACGTCCGCGAACCTCTCCGCGGCGGCCTGGGGCCGGCGCCGCTCCGCGAACGATCCCGAGAACGCGGACGCGTGCGACGCCGCCGGCGCGCTGGAGATCCGCTCCTTCGAGCTCGGCGTCTGCGTGCCCGTCGCGCCGGACGCGGGCGAGGGCTTCCCCTTCGTCTTCCCGCCGAGCAGCGCGGGCGACTGCCTCTACCCCTACGTCGGCGTCCGCCGCAACGACGCGCCCACGGACAAGGGGCACATGTACTTCTAAGCTTCATGGCGGGCGCTCGCTCACGCACGCGTAGGTCGGATCCACCTTGGCGCACGGCGTCGCGACGTCCGCGGGCGTCGCGGTGTAGTTGACGACGAGCGGGAACGCCTCGTCGTTGGCCGCGCGGGCCATGGACGCCAGGCAGGCGCTCCCGGCCGCGCCCTGGGCGGCGGCGCGCCGGCGGAAGGCGTCGAGGGCGGCGAGGATCGCGCGCGCGTCCGCGAGCACGAGGCCCGAGCGGTCGACCGTCTCCTCCGCGCAGTCGACATGCGCCGCGGGCGGCCCGCCGCGCCCGGCGGGCAGCTCCTCCGCGGCGTGGGCGGCGAGGGCGTCGGCGACGCGCCCGGGCACGCCGAGCCAGGCGCCGACGCCGCGCATCGTCGCGGGCGCGTCCGCGAGCAATTCCTCGAAGAGCACGCCGCGAAAGGGCGCGCCGACGCGCCGCGCGGTCCGGTAGAGGTTCGCGCGGAAGGCGACGACGTGGGGCAGCTCGCAGGCGAAGTTGGCCGCGGGGAAGGTCGTGGCCAGCACGTCGCCCGCGGCGCAGTCGGGCTTCTTCCTGTGCTTCTTCACGCCGTGCGACGCGAGCGCCGTGCGGAAGAGGTTCGACCGCGAGAAGACGACGAGCCGCGTCCCCGGGAAGTTTCCGAGCAGGGTCCGCAGGGCCGCGGCGACGTCGCGCTGGGCCGTGCCGTCGTGGAGGCTCGGGCAGAGGCTGAAGCCGAGCACGTCGGGGCACCGGTCCTTCGAGGTCGTCGCGAGCGCGCCGGCCATGAGCCGGACCTTGCGCGCCAGCGACATCGTCTCCGCCGTCTTCTTCGTGATGAGCTCCTCCTGGAAGTCGATGCTCGTGCCGTTGCCGCGCGTCTTCGCGAGCAGCTGCGCGAAGAGCGTCGACCCGGACCGGCCGTCCTTGAGCACGACGACGCGGCGCGTGGCGCCGCAATGGCTCGCGTTCCTGCGCGTCGCGACGCAGGCGTCGACGAGGAGCGCGGCCAGCGCGACTGCGCAGGCGCGCATCGTGCAATGTCAGCGAGCTGCGCGCTGCAAATTTGCTACCATGCCGCCATTGGTCGCTGCAACATCTCTGCAACAAGAGGCAAAGCAACAAAGTTAGCAGCCACATTGTCACCCAGCCGCGCTCCAAATCTCGGCAAGCTTAGCTATTCGCCGGGACTCTCACAGGGCGACTCGCGCATGGCCGTCGAACGATCAGCGGCGACTCCGCGTCTTCTTCTTCGGCGAGGCCCGGAGCGTGGACGGGGCTCCGCGCTGCTCGGCCTCGAGCTCCCGGACGCGGTCCTCGAGCTGGCGGATGCGCTGGCTCTGCTCCTCGATGGTCTTGCGCTGGTCCTCGGTGGTCTTGCGCTGCTCCGCCAGTGCGTCTTTCTGGCGTCCCATTTCGTCTTTCTGGCGTTCGATGAAGGTGTGCGCGATCCGCCGTTCGTCGGCCTCGTCGTCTCGATCTTCCGCCGCGGCGTCGCGCTCCTGCTTGATTACCACCTTTGCCGTCTCGAGGTCGTGGATCTGCTTCAGCCCGGAGTTGAGCGGCGGCGCCGGGCGCTCTTCGCCGTCGGGCGACGTGAGATCCTGCGCCGCAAGATGGTCGACGATGGTCCCGAGATTGTCGTCCGTTCCCGTCTCCGCGGCCTCCATGTCCTGGTCCGTGTCCTTTTGTTCATCGCTGCTATCCTCGTCGTCGTCGCTGTCGCCGTCCTCCTTGTCCTCGCTACCGCTGCCATCTTCGTCGTCCTCCTTGTCATCGCTACCGCTGCCATCTTCGTCGTCGTTGTCGTTGCTGCCGTCAAACTGGTACAAGGTCACCGAGACGCTTTCCTCGCCGCAGGCTTTGCACTCCAGCGGGGCCTTACCGTCCATGGTACATTCGAAGCAGGGCCAGGTGTTGCAGTCGTGGCAGCACGGGCGTATGAAGAACGCTTTTCGTTCCTCATCGAGATCTGCTCCGCTGCGACCGCAAACCTCGCACTTATACTCGTCAAACTTGAAGCCTTCATCGCTGTTCCCGCCACCGTAGCTGAATGCCATGAATCCCTTCGCGCCTTTGAGGACGTGCTTTCCCGAACCCGTGTACACGTTCAGTTGTTGCCCTGGCGCGAGACCGTACTGGGGGGTCGTTCGTATCGACGGACCGTAGCCGCAGCCGGGACTCATGTCAGGCATGAGTTCAGTCCAAGTATGCGAACCATAGAAGCTCGCAAAAGTAGCGCCCGTCTCCTCCCCGTCTTTCACTTCGACGATCTCCACCGTAGGGAATGGTTGCAGACAGCGCTTTCCGTCACTCGGAGCAACCATGGCCCATTCGACAGCGTTCGCCTCGGTTTTAAATTCGTGGCCTTTTTCATCGTCTCCTAGTTCGTGAACGAAGACTGCTGGCTCTGTTGGCAGCGCCGGGCGCTCCTCCTCGTCCCGCCGTCTCTCGCCCCGGGCGCCGCGACGCGAAAAGCCAGACATAATACCGGGGTGGGCAGCTGGGTAAATAAAGAATAGTTGAACACCGTTGTAATGCGCTGCCCTATGTCCCAGCAGTGAATACCGGGCAGCCCTTTCCTTCGAAGCGATGTCCTGGCTGTCGCGCTGCGCCGGCGCGTCGAAGCAGTTCGAAAGCGCGCGGACGCAGGAGGGCCCGACGATGGTCGTGTGGGACTTCGACTGGTCCTTGATTAACGAGAACAGCGACACCTGGATCCTCGAGCAGCTCGCGCCGACGCTCTTGACGGATCTCAAGAAACTCCAGCAGACGGAGCCGGACCGCTTCGGCCGCGGCCAGTGGACCGCGCTCATGGACCACCTGCTCACGCTCCTGGGGACGCGGGAAAAAGTGACGCGCGGCGCGCTCGAGCGCCGCCTCGCTTCGATCCCCTTCGCGGACGAGAACGTCGCCTGCGTGCGCCTCGCCGCCGCCGCGGGCTGCGAGCAGCGCATCCTCTCCGACGCCAACGAGGTCTACATCGACAAGATCCTGGAGGCGCGGTCGCTGCGGGGCGCGTTCTCGGCCGTGTGCACGAACGCCGCGACGTACGAGGACGCGGGCGACGGCGCGGAGGTGCTGCGCGTCGCGCCCTTCCACCCCGTCGACGAGGCGCCCCATGGCTGCCGCAGGTGCCCGCCGAATCTGTGCAAGGGCGCCGTGCTGGACCGCTGGGTCGCGGAGTGCCGGCCGCGGCGCATCATCTACGTCGGGGACGGCAGCGGCGACTACTGCCCGGCGACGCGCCTCGTCGAGGACGACGTCGTCTGCGCCCGCGCCAACTACCCGCTCGCGAAGAAGCTCCGGAAGCTCGCGTTGAACGTCACGGACCCCGTGACGCTCGACGCGGCCGTCGCGGAGTGGAGGGACGGCGCGGACCTCCTCCGCATCTTCAGGCGCGAGCTCCGCGCGCCGAAGCAGGCCGCGCCGCCGCCGAAGCCGCCGCCCTCGAAACCGCCGCCCTCGAAGCCCCTGAAGCCGTTCTCGTCGAAGCCCGCGGCGCCCGCGCTCGTCGGCAAGCAGGCGGAGACGAAACCCGCGAAGCGGGCGACGGTGCGCTTCGCGCCGCCGTGAGGTACGACATTAATTAAATTACAGGGGGCGCATCTCGCGGTCACGGCTGCTGCGGGAACTGGCCGGGGACGCGGACGAGGGGCGCGAGCATCGCGGGCGCGGCGACGTGCTTCCCGGCGAGCTCCTCGAGGGCGGCGAGGATGGACCGCTGCGTGGCCTTGATCTCGACGAGCTCCGTCTTCAGGCTGTAGATCTCCGTCTGGAGCACCGCGGGGATGCGCGCGGTGCGGCCGCCCGCCGACGACTTGCCCGCCGCCGGCTTCGGCTTCGGCGGCGGCTTGTCGGCCTCGGCCGGGTCCCGGCCCTCGGACTTGAGGCGCGCGATCTTCTCCTGCGTCTTGCGGTACTTCTCGCGCGCCGCCGCCGCCGCGTCGGCGACGGGGTTCGCCAGCAGCGACTTGCGGATGGACTGGAACGTGAGCCTTTCGGGCTCGCGGTCCTTCTCCTCCTCGTCCTCCGAGTCCTCGGCGTCGTCGTCGTTCTCCTCCTCGACCATCTTCTCCAGCAGCACGGCGACGACGACGTTGATGAGCACGACGGCGTGGAGCAGGTAGAAGGACACGAAGTAGACGCCCGTGCCGATCGGCCCGTAGTTCATGATGAGCGGCCGCCCGATGGCCTCGGACCACGAGTCGCCCGTCAGCACCTGGAACATGGTGTAGAGCGCCTTGAAGAAGTTGCCAAAGTACTCGTGGCCGAACTCCTCGTTGCGCGACGTGTAGTACGGCGGGCAGCCCGTCAGCGTCGCCGTCTCCCAGAGGCCCGTGTCGACGTTGAACTCGGGGTAGTGGCGCCGGTCGCCCTTGATCTTCGTGTGGCACCACTCGAATTCCATCTCGCCGTCGCGCCCGAAGTCCCGAAAGAAGTCCACGGCCAAAATCGCGTAGATGCACATCACGATGAACATGATCAGAAACGCGTTCATCACGCCCGGCACGGCGCGCGCGAGGCTCTCCAAAATCTTCCGCAGCGACTTGACGCGCTTGAAGAGGCGGAAGACGCGCAGCGCCCGCACCATGCGCATGAGGCGGAGCGGCCCGGGCAGCGGCAGGTTCAGCTCGAAGAGCCACGACACCGCGACGGTGATGAAGTCGAAGACGTTCCAGCCCGACCCCCAGAACTCCTTGTACCAGTGGCAGTACATGTTCGCGCTCAGCTCGACCGTAAACGTCACGTTGAAGAACCACTCGCAGACCCGAAAGTTCCGGTAGTAGTCGCGGCCGCCGGGCACCGTCGGGTCCTCGGACGGCCAGAGCTGCTTCTCGACGATGGACGTGACGAAGTTGGCGATGATGAGGATGGCGACGAAGACCTGGACGCGCATGTCGTTGTAGATGATGCGCAGCGGCTCCTTGTAGCGCCAGAAGCCGCTCGGCCCCCGCTTGCTCTCGTCGTACGGGTCGTCGTACGCGCTCCAGGGCCGCGGCGCGCCCGGGTCGAAGGGCTGGACCTTGCCGACGCCGACCACCTGGCCGGGCGCGTGGGACGTCGCGCCGGCCTCCTCGGCCTCGGCGCCGTGGGCCCGCGACGCGTCCGGCGTCCGGAACGGCTGCTCCGGCGTACCCGTCGGCGACGCCGCCATCCGGTAGGTCTTCTCCCGCAGGTTCTCCGCGCGCCGCTCCTCGCGCCGCTCGACCTTGTGGTGCTGCCGCGCCTCCTTGGCCTTGATTGCGTGGATCGCCGCCGCCATGGCGCCGCAGAAAAGCTCGGCGGGAGCCGGGGTGCGGGCTGCCCGGCGGCGCCTCGCCCGTTACGCTGGGACGCCGGCTGTTTCCGCGACGGTCGGCGGCGGCGCCCGCCCGGCCGCCGCGCGACCCGGCGCCCGCGGCCCGAGAATGCCGGCGGACGACGGCAGCGCGTCCCGGCCACGAGAGGAGGCCGATCGAGTTATGTCTTTTTGACGATAGATACCCTGAAACGAAACTCCTTGAGGCAAACGAAGTAACTTGCTGCACCACCTTGCGTCGTTGGCGCGACGGGTGCGGCCGCAACGGGGCTGCGTCGGCGCCCGGCGCGTCGTGCGGCGGCGCCGAGGCGCCATGATGCTCATGATGACGTCCCGCGAGCCGGAGCGCGTCTCCAAGTATAAGGTCGTGCCCGAAGCGGAGCCGGAGAACCTCGCCAAGCTGAGCTCGAGCCTGCGGCTCCTCATCGAGCGCATGCGCGGCGGCCGCGGCGGCCTCGCGCCCAAGTGGGTGAACCTGGACGGCGAGGTCAACAACGTCGAGTCCATCCGCGCCCTCGACCGCGCCATGCGCGACCAGAAGCCCAAGTGCTCGATCGAGACGCTGTCGCTCCGCTACTGCCGCCTGAGCGAGGAGGCGCTCCAGGTCCTCGTCGCCCTCGTCGCGACGAACAAGTCCCTCGAGACGCTCTACCTCCACCTCACCGTCGTGAAGCAGCCCAAGGTCCAGGACGCCATCGCCGCGGGCTGGGGCAAGCACGGCCTCTACCACCGCGTGAAGAACGCGGGCCAGACGCTCTTCCGCAAGGTCGACGCGTCCTACCTCAAGGACCGCATGAAGTTCGTCCCCGCCTGGGCCATGAAGCCGCCCGCGAAGGAGAAGAAGAAGAAGGGCAAGAAGAAGGGCAAGAAAAAGAAATAAGCAGATAGACACGAGGGAGGGCTCGAAGCCCGTGCATGGCGAATTTGTTTAGACGCCGCGCGCGCTAGAAGTCGACGCTCCAGTCGTGCTCGGGCATGTAGTGGACGAAGATGTTCGCGTAGGAGTCGCCGCGGAAGGGCCGCGGCCGGCCGTGGAGGAGCCGCGCGGACTCGTAGAGGAGGAAGTCGCCGGGCTCCATGTTGACGGCGTGGAGCTTGCCCGCGTGGTCGAGGATCTCCAGAGGCCAGGGCTCGTCGACGCCGGCCTGCGCGACGTTCATGATGCCGCTCACGACGTGCGTGTTCGCGGTGTCGACGTGGAGGTGGAGGTACGCGCCGCGCTCGTAGGTGCGCACGCCGTAGGCCGACGTGCCCTTGAGGGGCACCGTCGTCGGCGCCCAGTCCTCCATGAGGCGCTTGAGCTCGTCGAAGACGTAGGCCTTGAGCCGGCCCTCGAGCGGCGTGTGCCACGTCTGGATGCGGCGCTGGTTGTAGAGGGGCCCGCCGTCGGCCTCGGGCCGCCGGATGCGGTCGTGGGACGCGTTGTAGAACTGGATGACCTTGTCGTAGACGTGCGGCGGCGTCTTGATCAGCTTGAAGCCGTCGGCCGTCACGTTCGGCGTCACGGCGATCTGCACGTCCGACAGCGCCTTCCGCTTCTCCATGGCCAGATCGTAGACGTGCTCGAGCACGGCGAAGCGCACGCGCGCGTCGAGGCCCGCGGCGCCGCCGAGCGCCTCGAGGCGCTCGAGCTCCAGGGCCTGCATCCGCGCGGCGTGCGGGTCGTGCGGCGCGTCGGCCGCGGAGCAGGCCGTCGCCTCCGTCGCGAGGTGCGCCGCATCCAAGACGACGCCGTCGCCGTGGCCCCGCACCGTCACCTTGGAGATGAAGTGGCCGTCGGCGTCGGAGACCGCGAAGACGTGGCCCACGGAGGTCCCGATCGTCGCGTCGGCGCCCGGGCGGACCTCCGCGACCTCGCCGTAGGGGCTCCGGTTCGCGTCGACGCCCTCCTCCATGCCGATGTCGAACCAGTGGAGCTTGATCGTGTAGTCGAGGTCGTTCTGGAACGTGAAGCGGTCCACGCGGACGCTGTCCATGGCGAGCCGCGCGAGCTGGCCCCGCGCGTGGCGGCCGTCGCCGTAGGTGTGGACGCGCGTGGACCGGAGCGCGCCGTCGCGCTGGAGCGCCGCCCAGTCGTCGCGCGGCTCCAGGAGCACGGCGCCGCACGCGCGGCCCGCGGCGCCCGGCGACAGCCACGGGCCGTCCCACGTCGACCGCCGCGCGACGGCGATGCGCATGAACCGCGCGGCGCGCTGCCGCTGCGCGGACCGCAGCGCGATGCGCGCCTCGTCGTCGCCCGCGGCGCCGGACGCGCAGGGGTCGTCGCCCGTGTCGTCGAGCGCCGCGACGAGGACGCCGGCCCAGGCCTCGGCGCGCGAGATGGACCGCAGCTCGCCGAGCGACGTCGTCTCGTCGGGCTCCCAGGTGCGGTCGTAGTGGCCGGCGACGACGTGCGGCAACGCGCGATCCTCCGCCGTCGCGACGATGCAGACCGTCGCGAGGACGAGCCGCATTTTTGGCAGTGTCATCGGTGCGGCGGGGCCGAGGCAATTCCGCGAACCGACTCGAGATCGCGAGCTCGAGCGGCCTCGGCGCGCCGCGCAGTGTGGTGATCAACGTACATCTAGGTGCACCCATAGGAATAATTAATAATTAATTAATAATCCAAGACGGGCCGGCGGCGCGAGATTCATTATCACTGGCGCCGCGACGCTTACGCGCACGTGCACGCGTCTCGAAGGAGCTCTCTCGAATCGACGGGAGTCGTCATCACTTATGAACAGCCCCCACGTCCCTTCGCTCACCGGTCCATGGTCTCCGGCTCCGCCGGCGCGCCGACCTGGTACGGCTCCGCCGCGATGGGCGACGCGACGGCGACCGGCGGCGCGCCCGGGAGTGCCCCCGCGGACCCGAGCGACTCCCTGTAGTTGATCTCGTAGTCGACCTGCGCGGTCATGCACCCGGCCGTCGAGAAGAAGACGATGTCGGCGATGAGGTCGATGATCTGCGCGAGGTCCCGCAGGTTGCGGTCGAAGATCGCCGCGAAGTGGCAGATGCACGACAGGACCTGCATGCAGTTGTTGAAGCGGATCAGCCGGTTGTCGCACTCGTCGGGCACGAGCTTGTACTGGTCCATGAGCACGAAGCGCGTCGAGGAGACCGCCAGACCCGCGCAGCAGCACGCTTCCACGAACATGCAGGTCCGCGGCATCTCTTTCTCGCAGCACGCGCCGGGGTGGAAGCAGCAGCAGCTGCCCGTGTAGCCCTGGCAGCAGACGTAGTGGTCCCAGCCGCTGCCGGGCGCGACGTGGTTGAGCACCTTGTAGCGCATGTGGACCTGCGTGCAGAGGAACGACAGCGGGCAGCCGCCGAGGAGGCAGCAGCCCGGCGCCTTGCAGCAGGCGTCCCCCATGGACGTCTGGAACTTGTCGCGGTTCCCGGCGAAGCGCGCGAACGTCGCGCCGCGCTTCGTCGACAGCTCGTCCTCGCCGAGCGGCTCGCCGGAGAAGCAGCCTGCGCGTCGAAGGCGGTCGAGACGCGCGTCGTTCGCGGTCGCGACGTCTTCGCGCGACGCGCGCGTGGTCCCGACTCCTTCATCTCGCGGCGACGCCGTCGAGGAACACGTCGCTCCGGGCGCGTGTCACCCCCCGTGGGTGCCCCCCGACATCGCGATTCTTCTTCGAGGAATGATCGATCGAAACATCCTCCTCTTCTATGATGCTCTCGCCTTCTTCTTCGCTCGGCCCCGGGCCCTCGCTCGCCCCCCTCTGCGCACAAAGACGTCGCGGGACGCCGACGCGCACAACAGACGGCGTTCATCACCGACGACTCACGCTCCGCGCGCGCAGAAATGACCGAGGCGCTTGCGGCGAAAACTCGCTCACCTCAGTGGCTGCAGGCCTCCGCACGGCTCCCGGTCCCGGACGGGCGCCTCGGCGCGCCGAGGCCTCCAAGCGCACTAAATGGAGAGGCGGCGGGAAAGGGAGGGAGGGGGAGGGGAGGGCGGCGCGGGCCCCTTTTGGGCCGCGCCGCGGCGCCGGCCGGCGCCTAGCGGTCCATGCCCGCGGGCTGGGCGACGCCGACGACGGTGGCCTGGGGCATGGCGTTGATGGGGCTGCCCACGGGCCCGCCCGGGAGGCCCTGGGACTCGCCGAGCGACTCCCTGTAGTTGATCTCGTAGTCGACCTGCGCGGTCATGCACCCGGCCGTCGAGAAGAAGACGATGTCGGCGATGAGGTCGATGATCTGCGCGAGGTCCCGGAACTGGGGCTTGAAGATGGCCAGCACGTGGCAGATGCAGGACAGGACCTGGATGCAGTTGTTGAAGCGGATCAGCCGGTTGTCGCACTCGTCCGCCATGAAGTGGTACTGCTCCATCATGACGAAGCGCGTCGAGGAGACGGCGAGGCCCGCGCAGCAGCAGGCCTCGATGCACATGCACGTCCGCGGGATGTCCTTCTCGCAGCACGCGCCGGGGTGGAAGCAGCAGCACCTGCGGACGGCGCCGTTCTCGCGGCGGGACGGCCCGTCGCTCGAGGCGCGGAGCCGCGCGGCCCCGTGTAGCCCTGGCAGCAGACGTAGTTGTCCCAGCCGCTGCCGGGCGCGATGTGGTTCAGGACCTTGTAGCGCATGTGGTGCTGCATGCCTGGGGGGAAAAGACGCGCGTTTCGTTTTCGGCGGCGACGTCGCGCGTCTCCGCGAACTTTTTTGGCCAAAAATTCCACGGGGCGCTCGAGGCGTCGGACGCGGGCGCCGCGCAGACGAACGTGCAGGGCAACGCGGCGAGGCAGCAGGGGAAGCAGTTCTTGATGGGCGCGTCGCCCATGGAAATCTGGAACTTTTCCCGGTGGTTCGCGAACTTGCCGTACTGGCCGCCGCGCTTGCCCTGGAAGTCGTCCTCCCCGAGGGGGTCGCCGGAGAAGCAGAAGCAGCACGCGGTACACGCCATGGCGAAAGGATGCGGCGGCGGTCGATGGAGGACGAGATTGGCTGGCGTGAGCAAGATGGGCTGCTGCACCCACAAATGGGCTGAGGGCAAACACCGGCTCCTTGACCCGGATCGGGCCTGGTTTTTAGTCAACATGGTCAAGCTTATTATCGCGTCCACGATCCTGGCCACGGCGGCCGCCTTCCTCGGCGTCGCGCCGTCGGCGCCGGCGCCGCAGCTGCACGCCGCTGGCATCGAGGACTACATCGGCGCCGACATCGAGACGGCGGGGCTCTGGGACCCGCTGGGCCTGTCGAAGGACACGGACCGGCTCTACCGGTGGCGATGCGTGGAGATCAAGCACGGCCGCGTCGCGATGCTCGCGACGGTGGGCTACCTCTACAACGACCTCAAGCTCACGCTCCCCGGCGTGCTGAGCCCGTCCGAGGGCATCAAGTTCGAGAACGTGCCGACCGGGCTCGCGGCGACGCACGGCAACCCCAACAGCGTGCCCATCGCCGGCTGGGTGCAGATGATCTTCTTCATCGGCGTCATGGAGACGACGGTCTTCAAGCAGGACCCGGCCAAGGCCCCGGGCGACGTCGGCGGCGTCTTCTTCCGCCGCTACAGCGACCCCGCGGAGAAGGCCGACAAGCTCAAGAGCGAGCTCAAGAACGGCCGCCTCGCCATGATGGGCATCATGGGCATGCTCGTCACGGACCAGCTCACGGGCCTCGGGCCCGTCACCCAGCTCATGACCACCAAGGTCGTGCCCTTCTAGGCGCCCCGCCGTCGCGCGCCGCCTAACGACGGGTCCCTGGACGTTTCTCGTTGGCTGTGCTGTGGCGCTTAGGTCGCGCTGCCGGATGAGGCGACTGCGAGAGAGAGAGAGTCCTGCGTGCGTCCCGCGGGGCGCGGTTTTCCAGCAGCGCGTAGGGACGGCGACTCGTCGCAGCAACTTGAGGGCGCGCTGCGGAAGGACCTGCGCGCCGGTTGCTCGAGTTCATCAAGGCCTCGAGAGGGCGGCTCGGAGGCGTGCGCGCGCAGCGCCCTTCGCGCCGACGCAAATTGCCACTGCGGAGAAGTCGACCACCACAGAGAGCATGAGCGCGCTCCAGCCAGACGACGCGCCGGTGCAGCCAGACGACGCGCCGGTGTGGCGCGAGGACGAGCGCGTCGTGCGCACGCTCGCGCTGAACCAGCAGAAAGACCTGGCGGACTGCCTGGACCTCGTGGCGAAGATCGTCGAGAACATCGCCGCGTCTCCCGAGGAGCACAAATACCGGTCGCTGCGCGCCGCGTCCAAGGCGCTGAGCACGCGCATCTTGGCGCGGCCCGGCGGCCGCGAGCTCCTCGGCCACGTCGGCTTCAAGACGACGGCCGAGATCGAGCCCAAGGTCGAGCTCGCACGACGACCCGGCGAGGCGGCGTTCCTCGGCGCGTGCGCCGACTGGTGCCGCGCCTTCGCCGCGACCCCGCTGATCAGGGCCGCGGAGCTGAAGATCACGCTCCCGAGCGGCGCGACGATGCGCGCGGCGTTCCGCGCGGGCGAGACCGTGCGCGACGCCGGCAAGTACGTCGACGCGTACGCGCCCAGGGGCGGCCCCTACGTGCTGGCCACGACGCGGCCGCCGGTGAAGTTCGACACCGACGCGCTGCTGGATCAAACGCTCGCCGCCGCGGGCCTCGCGCCGCGCGCGGCGCTCGCGGCGACGCCCCGCGTCGACCCGGCCGCGGCGGACGCGCGGACGGCGACGGAGAAGGCCATGGACGACGCGCGCGAGCGCGGCTTGCGCGACCGCGCCGTCGCGCGGGCGACGCGCGACGCGACGGAGAAGAAGCACCGGGCGTTGGCGTTGGCGCGGAAGCAGGACGCGGAGCGCCAGCGCACGGACGCGCTCCGGGGCTTCGGCGACGACCGCGCGGAGCAGACGGAGCGCGTCGAGCGCGAGCGGCGGGCGGCGCGGCTCCGAGCGCAGCGCCTCGCCGACGAGGAGGCGGCCCTGCCCGCGGCGGAGCCGCGCGTCCGCGGCGCCGAGGAGCCGGAGGAAGGCGTCGACGGCGACGCGACGCCGCCGGCGCCGCCCGCGCCTCCCGCGCTCGCGGACGGCATCGCGGAGTAAGTGGCTTTGTACTTACGTTCCGCTGGCTGCGGCCGCGGTCCCAGATCTGCGCCGCGTCGGAGCTCGTCGAATTAATCGTCGAAGTTCAAGGTTCGGCTTGCCGCCAGCGTTGACACGTTGCGGATATATAAATCCCCTCCACACAACTACTCGATTGTCTGGCGCTCCGCGCTGGTCCAACCTCTAAGGAACCAGGAGGCGGCGCCCGGGGTGGCGGTCGCGGGCCGGGGCCCCCTGTTCTAGGCTGTGCGCTTTCGGTCGAGGATGGACGAGGCGTCCCTGGTCGTCGCGACCCGCGGGCCCCGGCTCCGCGAGGGCGCGGCCGTCGCGGAGGCGAATGCCGACGGCGCGCGGCGCGGCAGGCGACGACGGGGGAGCGGCGGGTCGGCGGGCGGCGCCCCGAGCAGCGCGGAGGGCGGGGGCGACGACGAGAGCGCCGAGGGGAAGCTGAGCTCCGAGGACGGCGCCTCGGCGGGCGCTGAGGGCGCGAGCCGTGCACCAGTTCCTCGACGACCCGTCGAGCTCGCAGGCCGCGGCGATCTGCACCTTCGTCATGGTGAGCCTCATCGTGCTCAGCGTCATCGTGCTCATCCTCAAGGAGACGCCGCCGTACAACCGGAACCGGCCCCTGAACAAGGCCATGAACCAGATGGAGGTCGTCTTCAACATCATCTTCACGACGGAGATCATGCTGCGCCTCTCCATCGCGGAGACGATCTGGCAGGCCGCGGATCTGTACATCGTCTTCGACATCCTGAGCGTCATGCCCTACTGGGTGGGCCTCTGCTTCAAATACAAGCTCGTCGTCAACAAGCGGGGCCTGCGCTTCGACCGGGGCTCGGGCAACACGAAGATGGTCAAGAAGGTCAAGGAGATGTTCAAGGCGCTCCGCATGCTCCGGCTGCTGAAGCTCACGCGGCGCTACGACGGGTCCATCGTCATCGTCCACGCCCTGCGCGACTCGAGCAGCGCGCTGGCGGCGCCCTTCTTCTTCCTCTTCGTCGCCGTGGTCATGTGCGGCACCTTCCTCTTCGTCATCGAGGACGGCAAGCCGACGGAGCGCGACGCGGAGAAGAAGTCGCAGCACTTCGGATCCGTGGTCCACACGATCTGGTTCATGGTCGTGACCTTCCTGACCGTGGGCTTCGGCGACGTCTACCCCATGACCGTCGAGGGCAAGATCATGACGGGCATGGCCATGTTCATCGGCATCTTCGACATGGCGATGATCTACGCGATCGTCGGCAACAACTTCTGCCGCGTCTGGGACGAGAAGGACAAGGTCATCTTCGTCGAGAAGCTGAAGGAGCACTTCCAGGCCTTCTCCATCAAGCGGGCGGACATCGAGGACTCGTTCCGCGCGCTCGACATGGACGGCTCCGGCAGTTTGGACTACGACGAGTTCCAGACGGCGCTGGTCAAGATGGAGATCAAGCTCAGCAGCCACCGCATGTTCGCGTTGTGGAACGCCATCGACTACGACCAGAAGGGCGAGATCCGCCTCGAGGAGTTCGTGAACCTCGTCTTCAAGGACCAGGGCGGCGCGGAGCGCCTGCTCCTCGACGACATCGAGGACGAGGAGGAGGGCGAATCCCCCGAGCCCGAGCCCGAGCCGGAGAAGCCCCGGGGCACGCTGAGCACGCTCAACAGCATCGGGCGCACGATCCTCTACGCGACGGGCCGCGCGAGCCTCCAGCGGAACGCGGCCGTGACGCCCGAGGGCGAGAAGAAGGACGGCGACGACGCGCCGCCGGGCGGCGCGCAGTTCCCCGCGTCCGCGGCCGACGCCGCGCGCATCGAGCGCGAGGACACGAAATCGGACCTGGACCACGAGTCGTCCGACTTCCGGCGGCCGGGCTACGGCGCGCCCGACGGGTCCACGGACGTCGTCGACCTGCGGCGACGACCGCGGCCGCACCCGAACCTGAGCGCGCTCGCGAACCAGATCGCCAGCGAGCTCAAGGTCGTGGCGCGGGACCAGGCGGCGTTGAGCCGCGCCCACGACGTACTCTCGCTCAAGATGCACACGCTGGTCTCGAGCCCCGCGCCGTCGGGCGGCGGCGCGCCGCCCGCGCTCAAGGCCGGCCCCATCAGCCCGCGGTCCCTGAGCCCGCGACGGTCCGTCGTCGACCGCGAGTGCGTCGCCGCGAAGCGGGCGCTGAACGTCGTCGCCGACGAGCTGCTCGCGCACTGCGCGACGCTGGAGCGCGACGACCTCGCCGCGCAGATCCGGCGCATCGTGTCGGCGCTGGGGCGGCCCGCGGGCGCGGATCCGTCGCAGGGGAACTCGGACCTCGCCTCCGTCTCCACGAGCTAGCGCGCTCCGCGGAGGCCGCGCGCGCGAGCAGCCCGCGCACTTTCGCGTTCGACGTCTCGGCCGCCGACCTCGTACGGCGGCGGCACTCCATCCGACAAAAAAAAATCACGTGGGCCCCCGGCCGCTGGTCGGCGGGCCGCCCATCCGCCCGTATCACCCGGAGTCGAATCGCCGGGGGCGCGCGCTCCTCTCCGGGGCGGGGCGCGCCCCCTGATTCGCATATTAAGACAAAACACCTCTCGTTCTCTCTCGTGTGCGTCCTTGGCTCTTTTTTTTGCCTGCGCGAATTGCCCGCGCGACGTGTGTCGCGGCGCCGCCGTCGAGTTCGCTGCGCCGCTCGGCGCGCCGCCGCTGCGATAGCGCGCGTTTTCATTGAACCCGTTGCAGACTCGAGTCTGGGCATGTCGTCGGTGCTTCGGGGCGCGGCCCACAACGTGACCAAGCCGCGGCGCAAGTCGGCGGCGAAGTCGCCGGCGAAGGCGGCGCAGCAGAAGAGCAGCAGCCGCGACGGTTTAGTAATCGACATCGACAGCTGCCTCGTCCACGAGACGACCAAGGGGAAGAAGCGGACGCGCGATTGGGGCGACGAGGACGCGCCCAAGGCCGCGCCCAAGTCCGCGCGGAAGACGGACGTCCTGAGCTCCGTCGCCGGGGCCCTGGGCTGGCTCGGCGGCTACGCGGACACGCCCATCTCGCTCGCGGCGTCCAACCCGAAGCGCGCCGGCTCGCGCGCGTGGGACCGCTACGAGGCCTACAAGCACGCGAAGACGCGGGCGTTCCGTGTCGTTTCTCGTGTCGTCGTCGTGGGAACTTGTTTCGCGCAGGCGCACGCAGTTCTACGCGCTCGGCGGCTGGGACGCGGACTTCGCCGAGTGCGTCGCGCAGGGCCACCTCCTCGAGCACCATCCCTAGGTGCCTCGGCAGCGCCGGCGCGTCGGCCGCCGTCGCGCGTCGGGGCCGCTCCCTCGCCCCCGCGGACATACCCCGTCGACGGCGCCGCGCGCGGACTTACGACTCTTGTGTTCCTTCCGGTGTGCGCGCGCGCCTCCTCACTCGCAGTCACCGCAGAGGCCGCAGGTCGAGCACGATTTGAGTTTGATCTGCGTCCCGTCGGGGTTCGTCTGGATCTGGGTCATGCCGTCGGCGGACGTGTCGATCTGCTTGCCGTCCGGGTTGCGCTGGATCTTCGAGCCGTCGGGGTTCGTCTGGATGATGATGCCGTCGGTGTTCGTCTGGATGCGCGTGCCGTCCTTGCAGATCTGGATCGACGTCCCGTTGTCGTTCTCCTGTACCTTCGTGCCGTCGTCGAGCGTCTTCATGACGCCGATGCGTTCGCCCATCTTGTTGACCTACGTCGGGACGGCGAGTTCGGATCGCGTCGCGGATATCCCCGGGGCGATGCGGCGATCCGCGTTGTGCGTCGCGCGAGCATTGTGTGCGGCGATCCGTATCGCGTCGCGCGCGCGTCTCTCGCGTCTGCGCGACTTACAGAAACTCACCGCTTCCGCCGTCTTGACGACGACCTGGACCTTCGACATTGTTGTTTTGAGTGGTCACGCTTGGCGTGGTGGATGACTATGCTTCGGACAACAGCCCAGCACTGGCGAAACTGGCGGGATCGGCGCAGAGGCGTCGACGCAGGTATCGAAACGAGAGAGAAACGCGAGCGAATCAGTGGCGAGACGAGCTCGCGAGGTCGGGCTCGCGAGCTCGAGTCGAGGCAAGACGTTGGCAATGGACGTCCAGAGCCCATCCAGCGCGCCGCCGCCGCCGCCGCCGACGGCGTTCAGCCCGCTTAAGCCCATGACGCCACGACGCGCACAATGCCAAGTCGGCGCGCCGCGGCGTGTCTCGATTCATTCGCGCCCCGCCGCTCGACAGAGCCATCGCAGCCCACATCCCACGACCGCGCGCTCGCGCCGCGCGCGTCGCGTCGACGGCATCGATCGCGCGCGCGTCGATCGAAGCACGCGCATCGCATCGCATCGCGAACCGCATCGCATCGCGAACCGCAGGCGTCGTGCTCGACGAGGCCGACGGCGTCTCGAACGTCGCGGCGTCGCTCGCGCAGCTCCTCGAGCGCCCCGGCTACCGGCGTCACCTGCAAAGCTGCGGGACGTCGCAGGAGATCATGCTGGGCCACGCGGACACGCGGCTGCGCCAGGAGGTCAAGGCCATGCTCCGCGCGACGGCGGCGGACTACGGCGTGACGCTCAAGTTCACCGCGGGCATGCTCGAGGGCGCGACGCACCACAAGATCGTCGCGCTCGTCGACACGACGGCGGCGCTCGCGACGCCCCTCGCCGCGCCGCGCAAGGTCTTCGCCGACTCGACGAACGACGGCGGGGCCCGGCGGCGCGAGGCGACGGGCTGCTGGTGCCGCCGCTAGGCCGCGCGGCCCGCCCCGCGCGGTCGCGGGGTCCCTAAACGCGACGAGCCTGCTACCGACGCATGCGAGCCTCCTTACTGCTCCTCGTCTCCTTACTGCTCCTCGGCCATGGCGAGGGCGAGGAGGTTCGAGGAGGAGGAGTGCTTGAGCTTCGCGGAGTCGACGAGGGCCTTGAAGGCGGAGCCGTCCTTCGCGAGGAGCGCTTTGGGCGCGTCGAACTCGAGGACGTGGCCGTCGTCGAGGACGAGGACGAGGTCCGAGTCGAGGATCGTGTGGAGGCGGTGCGCGATGGTGATCGTCGTCGAGGCCTTGAAGTTCGTGCGGATCTGCTTCTGGATCGCCGCGTCGGTCTCGTTGTCGATGGACGCCGTCGCCTCGTCGAGGACGAGGATCTTGGGCTTGCGGAGCAGGGCCCGCGCGATGCAGACGAGCTGGCGCTGGCCCACGCTCAGGTTCGAGCCGCCCTCCTGGAGGAGCTCGTCCAAACCGTTCGTGAGCGACGCGACGAACGGTCCGAGCTCCGCGCGCTCGAGCGCGTCCTTGACCTCGTGCTCCGTGTACTCGTCGAAGGGGTCGACGTTGAAGCGCAGCGACGCGGAGAAGAGGATGGGGTCCTGGGGGATGATGAAGAGGCCCCGCCGGAGCTCGCGGAGCCCGAGCGCCGCCGCGTCGGCGCCGTCGATCTCGCACGACCCGCCGCACAGCTCCACGACGCGGAAGAGCGCCGCGGTCAGCGACGACTTGCCGCTGCCCGTGCGGCCGACGACGCCGACGTGCGCGCCGCCGGGGATCTCGACGTCGATGCCCTTGAGCACCAAAGGCCCGTCGCGGTAGCGCATCCGCGCGCCCTTGAAGGTCACGGCGCCCTTCGTCGGCGCCCAGCAGTCCGGCGGCGGGTCCATGCGCTTCGCGACGACCTCGCAGGCCTCCGCGGGCACGAGGGGCGGCGGGTCGTCGGGCGCCTCGCCGGGGCCCCGGAAGCAGTCGCCGTACTCGCCGAGGCGCTCGACGGACGCCATGTTCGACGCGAGGAGCGACGACAGGCGCACGGCGTTCTTGAGGAAGCCCGTGACCTCGATGGTCGACATCAACGCCAGGCCGAGGAAGCCCGCGTTCATGAAGCCGCCCTGCGTGCCGACGGCTAAAGCCGCGACGGCCGCGGACGACACCGCCGCGAGCTGGTCCAAACGCACGCTCAACCAGTTGTAGCAGAGCTGCTCGAGGACCACGCAGGCCGCCAACGCATCTAGACGGCTCCGCAACCGATCCTCGAAGCGCTTCACGGCGTCGTAGGCGCGCACCGTCGCCACGCCGTTGAGGATCTCCGAGAAGTCCGCGATGACGGGCGACCGCGCCAGTTTCGCGAGCCGCGCGATCTGCGTCGACGACGTGCGGAAGCGCCGGTCGATGCAGCGGTAGGCGTAGCCCATGGGGACGAACAACGCGAGGAACAGGCCCTTCGTCGCCGCGCAGAGCGCGACGATCGCGCCGACGACGTACATCGCGATGCCGCAGAATTCGGACATGTTCCGGGAAAGCTCCGTGTCTAACGTGAGCATGTCCCCCGAGAAGCGGTTGAGGATGCGCCCCACGGGCGTGACGTCGAAGAAGGCCGTCGGCGCGAAGAGCACGCGCTCGACGACCGTCGCGTGGAGCGCGGACGCGGCCTTGATGCGGTGGTACGCGAGGACCAGGGCGCGGATCGCGAGCGCGATGACGGCCCCCAGGGCGTAGTAGAGGTAGTAGTAGACGAAGTCCATGACCGTCGACTGGTTCGGGTCCTTGTGGTTCGACGTCCACCGCGCGAGGAAGAACTGGCCGCCGATCTCCGACGCGCGGCCCGCGACCATGACCGTCAACGCGACGACGAGCCAGACGGAGCCGCCGGCCTTCGCGAAGACGATCCAGGTCATGTTCGACACCAAACCCTCCGCCGTCTTCTCGTCCTTGACGAGCGCGCCCTCGCGGAGCTGGCGCTGCTCCGCCGCGTGCAGCCCTTCGAGCTCCTCGTCCTCGTGGAGCGCGTGGGCCGCGACGTCGGCCTCGACGGCCTCGGCGACGACGGCGTCGAGGCCCGTCGCCTCGACGAGCACGGGCTCGTCGTCGCGGATGAGTTTCGTCGCGACTTGGACGTCCTTGACCTCCTCGGGCTGCTCCTCGACCGTCAGCTCGCCCATGTCGACGCCCCGGGCCGCGAGCTCGTCGTAGGTGCCCTTGGCGACGATGCGCCCGTCCTTGACGACGACGACGACGTCGCAGCGGGGCAGCACCTTGGCGTGGTGCGTCACGAGGACGCGCGTGCGCCCGCCGAGCGACCCGGGCGCGCCCGCGCCGCCCGCGATGCACTCGTCGAAGAGGTGCAGGGCCACGTGGGCGTCGACGGCGCTGAGCGGGTCGTCGAGGAGCACGACGGCGCAGTCGCTGTAGGCCGCGCGCGCGAGCGAGATCCGCGCCTTCTGGCCGCCCGAGACGTTGATGCCGCGCTCGCCGATCTCGCAGAGCGCGCCCCCCGGGAGCTGCGCCAGGTCGTCGGCCAGCGCGCAGCGCCGCACGCAGGCCGCGAAGCGGTCGCCGTCAAAGTCCGCGCCGAAGAGCACGTTGTCGCGGACCGTCGCGTTGAGCACCCAGGGCACCTGCGCGCAGAAGGCGACGGCGCCCGGCGCGAGCTTGGACGCGCCGGCGATGGTCTCCATCTCGCCGGCGATGGCCGCGAGCAGGCTCGACTTGCCGCTGCCCACGGGGCCGACGACGCCGACGAGCTGGCCGGGCGCGACGGCCAGGTCGATGCGCTCGAGCGCGAGCGGCAGCGGCTCCGGCGGGTTCTCCGGGTCGACGATCGCGGCCTTCTTGGGCTTCTTCTTCTTCTTGGGCTTTGTCTTCTTGCCGTCTTTGAGCCCCGCGTCCTCGTCGTCATCATCCTTCTCGTCGCGGACGGGCGGCTTCGTCGACCACGCGAACGTGCCGTCCTCGATGGCGAGCGCGGCGCCGTTCGCGCCGCCCTTGCGCTCGTCGAGCTCGGGCTGCGTGAGGAAGGCGGCCATGCGCTTCGCGGAGACCTGGTACGTGAGGAACTGGATGAGGCAGAAGGGCAGGAACGCGAGCGGCAGCCGCAGGAGCGAGAAGAGGCTCAAAGTCGCAAAGGCCGTCGAGCTGTCGAGCTCGCGGCCCATCTTCTGCGTGTAGTAGGCGAAGATGAGCACGGGCTGGAAGATGGGCGCGCCGAGCATGACGACGGCGAAGCCGACGGAGATGATCTTCGACTGCTTCCAGAGGATCTTCGACTCGACGGCGCGGAGCGCCGTGATCTTCTCGAGGAAGGGCCGCTCCCAGGCGAGGAACTTGACGACGCGCACGCCGCCGAGCACCTCGTTCATGAGCTTGACGCGCTCGTCCGCGGCCTTGAGGTAGGCCTTCTGGAGGGCCAAGAACGGGATGAAGATCGCGACCTGGAGCGGCACGCAGACGATCATGAACCCCAAACCGATCCACATGGCCTCGCCGACGAGCTGGTAGATGAAGTAGAGGCAGAGCACGATGATGATGGGGCCGCTGAAGAGGATGCCGATGAAGAGGAGCAGCTTCTGCACGCTGAACGCGTCGACCGTGAAGAGCGTGACGATCTTGCCCGCCTCGTAGTCGCCCCGCGCCGTCGGCGAGAGCCGCAGGGCCTTCTCGTAGAGCGCGAGGGAGCAGGCGCTGTACATCTGGCAGCCCACGTGGACCATCTCCGTGTCGTAGCGCGCGCGCGCGAGCGACCCGAGCGACGGCGCGAGGTAGAGCGCCGCGACGATGGTCCACTGGGCGCGCGTGCTCAGCAGGTCCTCGTCGTTCTGCTCGAAGTGGAGCACGAGCACGCGGAGGCACAGGACGGGCACGAGCTGGAGCAGGCCCTCCGCGAAGAAGCAGACGCACGCGAAGAGGAACCGGCAGAGGCCGCCGTCGATGGCGCGCAGCTGGGACGTGAAGAGGTCCGGGACCTTCGGGGACGCGGCGCCGCCGGCCTTGGCCGCGTCGTACCTGGCGACGGCGGGCGCCCAGGTCCGCTGGAACCGCGCCGACACCTCGGCCGCGACGTCGCTCTGCTTCGGCCGGCCGATGTCCCGGAGCGTGATGTCGACGCCCTTGCCGAGCAGCGGCGTCAGGAAGCTCAGGGTCGCGCGGCTCCAGCAAGACGCGCGGTCCTCGGGGCAGGGCACCTCCTTGGCCTTGGCCACCTCTTCCAGGGCGACGAGCTGCAGCTCGCGCTGTTCCTTGAGGTCGCTCGAGTTGCGCTTCATGGCGCGCGGGCCAAAGCGCGAGGCGACGTGCGATGCGGGCGCTCCGCGCGATTATCGAGGCGTAGATGCGCGTCGCGTTGAGCGACGGCGGCGGCGGGTACGCGAGCGGCGGCCGGTTCAGGACGAGGCTGTCCTGCGTGAGGTAGACGACGGCGTCGGCGCAGCGGGGGCGACGCAGTTGGTCAGAGCGGGGCTATCGACGCAGGTTTTTGTGCTTCGCCTCGACTGCGTCATCGCTTCAAACAAGGCTTCTTTGGCCTGATGAAGGATGAAGCCCGAGTTGGCTGCCCCCAGCGGGCTGTTTTACAGCGCGCCGCTCGACGCTCTCCGTGATCCACTCCGGTGGCAGCAACAGGAAGGTCATGGTGGAGCCGTAGCTGCCGCGCATGGTGGAGCGCATGGATCGTCCGCTGAGCTTCGAGGAGTACTTCGAGCAGAACGACAGCCGCGTCGGCAAGTCTCCAGCCTCGGCGAGAAAGACCGCGCGCGAGGCGCCGCGCAGCGCCGGCGCCGTCTACGAGGAGCGGACGCCGCGGCGCAGCGCGTCGGCCCGGGAGCGCGCCGCGCCGGCCACGGGGACGCCCTACCGGTCCGCGCCGTCGCCGCACCGCGCCGGCGCGCGCCGCGCGCCGCGGCGGCGGAACGCGCTCGACGACGCGACGTCGGGCAAGCGGCGCGTCGACAACATCATCGAGGGCCTCACGTCCGGGTCGCAGCTCAGCGACCTCGAGCAGCTCCGCCTCTTCGAGGATCTCGAGCGCGAGGTCGACCGCTTCCGCCACAAGGAGCACCTCACGGACGCGGAGGCGCGCGAGGCGCACCACGTGTCGTCGGTCGCGTTGGAGTTCATGAAGCACGAGCACCACAACTGGAAGGAGAAGCACCGGTCCACCCAGTCGGAGAAGAAGGCGAGCGCCGCCTTCCGCATCAAGTCGCTCCTGCGCTCCTGGTACATCACGAAGAAACTCAGCCGCGCGTTCCACGTGCTGTCGGTGGCCATGTACAACGGCCGGCGCCACGAGGAGACGCGCGAGCACCACGCGCGGGAGCTCGCGCGCCAGCAGAAGCACCACGAGCACCGCGAAAAGTCCTGGCGCGAGGCCCAGCACAAGGTCGCCGTCGGGCTCACGGCCGAGCGACGGGGTCGGATCGTCGCGACGGTCGTCCGCTACCGCTTCAAGGAGAAGCGCGAGCGCGGCCTGCGGCACGCGCTGCGCGTCTGGCACGTGGGCATCACGCGGTCGAACATCGACGCGGAGGGCTGCGTGCGGGGCATCGGCCTCGTGAGCCGCGCGTGGCGCCGCCAGTGGCGCCAGGTGCTCGCGGCGTCGCTGTCGACGTGGCGGAGCCGCGCCGTCGTCGAGGAGCGGAACCGCTTCGCGCTCGTGCGGGGGCTGGGAGCCGTCCGCCGCGCCCTGGAGCGGGGCCACGCCGTCCGGAGCCGCGTCGCGCTCAAGGCCTGGGCCGCGAACGCGCGGCGATCGCGCGTCGCCGAGGCGTCGAAGGCGCAGGCCGCGCTCCTCGTCGGCCGCGTGGCGAAGCGCTGGTCCGGCGGCGCGCTCGGCCGGGGCTGGGCCCGGTGGCGGCTCCTCGTGCACCGGGCCCGGGGCCTCGAGCGCGTAAAGCGGCGCCTCGCGCGGTCGCGCGCCGGCCGCGCCGTCGACCGATGGCGAGCGTCGACGGCGAACCACGCGAAGCTACGGTCGCTGCTCCAGCGCGGCGTCGTCGTCTGGAGCCGCGCGACCCTCCAGCGCGGCCTGCGGACCTGGCGCGGCGCGACGGCGAGGCTTTCGAAGGACGCGCGGCTCGAGCGACGGCGCGCGGCCGTCGTCGACCGGTGCCGCCGGCGCCTCGCGAACCACGCGACGGGAAGAGCCTACGCGGGCTGGCGGGCCTTCGCCGCCGAACGGAAGCGGCTGCGCGGCCTCGTGCGCCGCTGCGTCCTGCGGCTGACGCAGGGCGCGCTCGGGCCCGCGCTCCGGAGCTGGCGCCTGCACCGCGACGCCGCGATCCGCCGCGAGGCCGAGGCTCTCGTCGCGAAGCGGCGCGCCGAGGCCGCGGCCATGAAGTGCCGCCTGCGCTTCCTGCGCGCCCTCGAGCACCGCGCCTGGAACGCCTGGGTCGGCCACGTCGGCGAGCGGAAGCGGCTGCGGTCCGCGCTCAAGCACGCGACGCTGCGCTTCCGCCACTCCAAGGTCGCGCCGGCCCTCGGCACCTGGCGCCTCTTCGCGCAAAAGGCCGCCGACGCGGACCGCGACGGGCGGAACAAGAGCCGGTCCGCGACCATGGTCGACCGGGCCATCCGCCGCGCGTCGCGGCGGCGCCTCGCCGCGGCGGTCCACACCTGGAAGGACGTGCTCAAGACGGACAGCGAGCGGTCGCTGCTCGCGCGCCTCGAGGCCCAATCGCGGCGCAACGACCTCTTCGCGCGCATCGCCACGTCCGTCCACGACCCGCTCCGCGCGCTGAAGCGGCTCGAGCGCCTCGACGTCTGGCCCGCGGTCCGGACCTGGAAGGAGAACTTCGCCGCGCTCCGCGACGCGGAGGTCTCCGCCGCGCGCATGGCCAAGGGCGCGCTCCGGGCCATGACCTCCGTGGAGACGCGCTGGCTGCGGCGGGGCATGGCCTCGTGGCGCGCGCGTCGCGACGCGTCGCGGCGGGTCCAGAAGCTCGTCGCGCGATGGAAGGCCTCGAAGCTCGCGGCGGGCGTGCGCACCTGGCGGGACCACGGCCGCGCGCGGAAATGCCTGAAAGACGCGGCGGCGCTCGTCGCCAAGGCCCTGGGCCGCATGAAGAAGGTCGAGGTCGCGGCCGCGTGGCGCGCGTGGGAGCTCGCGCGCCGCGCGTGGCTCGAGGAGCGGCGCGCGGCGGGCCTGGGCCACCGGGCCCGGCGCGAGGGCCTGCTCAAGGCCGTCAAGCTCTTCCGGGACGCGAGCCTGCGCGCCCTCAACGGCCGCTGGCGCGCGTGGGCCTCGGCGGCGCGGTCCGAGAAGGCGCGGCGCGCGAAGATGCGCCGCGTGATCCTCCGGTGCCTCCACGCGGCGCTCGCGACGGCGACGACGCAGTGGGCGCGGGCCGCGCGGGCGGCGACGGCGTCGCGGCGGAAGATCCTCAAGGTCGTGTCGAAGCTCCGGCACCGGGCGACGGCCGCGGGTTTCGGCACCTGGGCGCGCGCGGCGCGCGCCGGGGCCGCGCTCGAGGCGAAGATGGTCCGCGTCATCCTACGCCTGGGCCACCGCGCGGCGGCCGGGGGCTTTGGCAAGTGGCGGGCCTTCGTCGACGCGGACCGCGGCGCGGAGCGGAGCGTGCTCCGCGTGCTCGGCAAGCTCGGCCATCGCGCGCAGGCGCGCGCGTTCCGCGCGTGGTTCGACGCCTGCAAGAAGGAGCGGCTGCTGGAGCAGCGCGTGCTCCACGTGCTCCTGAAGATGGTCCACCGCGCGGCGGCCGCGGGCTTCCGCCGCTGGGCGTTCGTCGACCGGTCGCTGCGCCGCGTCGAGTCGCGCGTGCGGCGCGTGCTGTCGCGCATGTCGCACCGCCGACTCGTCGCGGCGCTGAACCAGTGGAAGCTCGTCGAGGCCTTCGCGTCGCAGCTGGAGACGAAGGTGTTCCGCGTCCTGGGCAAGCTCTCGAACCGCGCGGCCGCGGCCGCGTTCCGCCAGTGGGCCTCCGTCCACCGGTCCGCCGCGCGGCTCGAGGCCAGGGTGCTGCGCGTCGTCTGCCGCATGGCCCACATCAAGCTCTGGGCCGCCTTCGACGTCTGGGCCGCCAAGGCCGCGGAGCGGCGCGCCGGCGAGCGGAAGATGGCGCGGTTCGTGCGTCGTCTGTCGCACCGCGCGGCCGGCGCCGCGATGCGCCAGTGGGTCGACGTCCAGCGCTTCGAGCGCCGCGCCGAGGCCAAGATCGGCAAGACCCTGCGGCGCATGGAGCACCGGTCCGCGGGCCTCGCCTGGACGCAGTGGCGCAACGTCGTCGCGGCCGCGCTCAGAGGCGAGGCCAGGGTGCTCCGGTGCCTCGGGCGCATGGGCCACCGCGCGGCGGCCCTGGCACTCATGCGCTGGGCCGCCGTCGTCGCGCACCTCGACCGCGTCGACGACCTGCTGCGCGCGGCGCTGCTCAAGATGAGCCACCGCCGCCACGCGGCCGCGCTCCGCCGCTGGACCTTCGCCGTACGCGTGGCCCTCGCCAACGAGCGCAAGATGGAGAGGGTGATCCTGCGCGTGTCCCACCGCGCGTTGGCCGCCGCCCTGGCCCAGTGGCTCGCGGCGCTCGAGAGCGACCGCCGCGTCGAGCGCTCGACGCGCGCGGTCCTGGGGCGCTTCGCGCACCGGCGGACCGCGGCGGCCCTGCGCCAGTGGGTCCTGGCGAACCGCCGCGCGGCGGACGTCGAGCTCAAGACGCGGCGCGTCGTGCTCCGGCTGTCGCACCGCCACATCGCGGCCGCGTTCCGCGCGTGGCGCGCCGCGTGCGAATGCCTCCGCGACGTCGAGCGGAAGATGCGCCGGGCGCTCGGCAAGCTCACGCACCGCAAGGCCGCCGGCGCCTTCCGCCGCTGGGCCGCGACGGCGCGCGGCGAGGCGCGGCTCGAGGCGCGCATGCGGCGCGCGCTGTCGAAGATGTCGCACCGCAAGGCGAACGAGGCCGTCCGCCAGTGGGCCGCCGTCGTCGCGGCCGAGCGAGCCAAGGAGGCGACGATGACGCGGGCGCTCCTGAAGATGCTCGCGTCCATGGAGGCCGCGGGCTGGCGGCGCTGGGTCTACGTGTTCCGGCGGAGCGCGGACGTCGAGCGGAAGATGACAAGGGTATTAAAGCACGTGCTCAACGCGTTCGCCGCGGCGGGCTGGAACCAGTGGGTCGCCCAGGTGGCGCGCCTCGCCGACGCCGAGGCCACGGTCGTGCGCGTGCTCAAGCACATGCTCCACCGGGCGGCGTCCCAGGCGTGGCGCGCGTGGCACGGGAGAGTCGTGGAGCTCCGGGTCCTGTCGATCCACGCGTCGGCCGTGCGCGAGAGCGCCAAGGTGCGCCACCACCGCATGACGCGCGCCGTCTACAATCGGTGCCACAGCAAGGGGCGGCGCCTCGTGGCGCTGGCCTTTAGCACGTGGCTGCGGCACGGGAATTTGTTGGCGGAGTGGCGCGCGAGCCAGGAGCGCGCGTGCGCCGTGTCGGACCGCTGCCTGCGCAAGCTCGTGGCGCGGGGCCTGGCCAAGGGCCTGCGCCAGTGGGTGCGGGCCGTGGGCAGCGAGAAGCGGGACCGGCTCGACGTGCTCCGGCGCATCGGCCGCTGCGTCCACGACCCCGTGCGCGCGCTGCGGCGCCTCAACGCCCTCGACGCGTGGACGGGCTGGCGCACCTGGGTCTTGGCGACGGCGGAGCTCCGCGCTCTAGCAGAACGGCAACGAGCGGCCTGCGACGTCGTGCTCCGCCTCTTCGCGGACGGCGACGCGCGGAAGCGGCGCGCGGGCTGGCTCTCGTGGCGCCTCCACCAGCGCACGATGGTCCGGCTCGACCATCTTTTTGGTCGCTGGACGCACAGCAAGCAGGCCGCGGGCTTCTCCGCCTGGGTCGACGTCTATATGCGCGCTTTGGACCGCGACCGCGCGGGCGCGCTCGCGCTCCGCGCGCTCCGCCAGCTCGCGCGGCGGGACCTCGCGCGCGCGCTGCACACCTGGGTCGGCTTCCTCGCGGCGGCGGAGGTGGCGAGTCGCGAGGCGCACGTGCGGGACCTCACGCGGAGCCGCGCGTGCGCGCGCGCCGCGCGGCTCGTCCTGCGCCAGGGCGACCGCGCGCTCGCGGCGGGCCTGCGGCGCTGGGCCGAGGCCGTGCGCGACCGGCGGCGCGCCGAGGCCATCGTCGTCAAGACGCTGAGCCACATGTCGCACCGCACGCTCCACCTCGCTTGGATGGCCTGGCGCGCGGCCGCGCGCGCGGCGACGGAGGCGCTCCACGCGCTGGCGCTGCGCTTCGAGGGCCAGCGGTTGCGGCTCCGGTCCATTCTACAGGTCGCCGAGGCGCGGGCGAAGCTCGACGCCATGCGGGGGCTCATGCGCTGGATCTCCTTCGCGTCGCGGTCGCGGCACGCGACCGCGGCGCGATCCGTCGGCGTCAAGATGGCCGAGCGCGTGCTCCGCCGCTGCCAGAGCCGCTCGCTGAGCCGGGGCTTCCACGCCTGGTCGACGGTCATGTTCGAGGACTCGGCGAGCTCCCTGTCGGCGAAGCTGCGGGCGGAGCAGGCGCGGACGACCATGTTCGGGCGCCTCGCGACGTCCGCCCACGACCCGCTCCGCGCGCTGAAGCGCCTCGACAAGCTCGGCGCCTGGACGGGGCTGCGCACCTGGAAGGCCGCCACGGACCTGGCGCGCGCCGCGGCCGACGCGCGCCACCGGGGCGCGTCGCGCGCGCTCGCGTCGCTCCGCGGCGCGGACGCGCGGAAGCTCCGCGCGGCGCTCCACACGTGGGTGCTCCACCGGCGCGCGGCGGCCAAATGCGAGCGGCTCGTGAAGCGCTGGACGCGGGCCGTCGAGCTCGCGGCCTGGCGGTCCTGGGCCGAGGCCGTCGCGCGGTCCGAGGAGGGCCGCCGCGGTGTCGCTTTGGCCGCGAAGGTCGCCGGACGCCTGTTGAAAAAGGCCGAGGCGCTCGCGTGGCGCCGCTGGGTCGTCGCCGCGCGGCTCTTCTACGTCGACGGCAAGAGCCGCGAGCTCGCGCGCCTGAAGGAGGCCCAGGCCTGCGTCCGCGCGGCCGCGCTGCTGTCGAACCGGAACCTCCGGGCGACGCACGGCCGCTGGCGGAGCTGGGTCGCGTTCGTCCGCGAGGAGAACGGCAAGCGCGACACGATGCGCCGCGTGCTGCTCCGGGCCTACCACGGCGCCCAGAGCCGGGCCGTGCGCCAGTGGGCGGCCCAGATCCGGGACTTCCTCGAGAGCGAGCGGCGGATGAAGCGGGTCGTGGGCAAGATGGGCCACCGCGCGTCCGCCGCGGGCTTCGACGCGTGGCGCCGGGCCACGGCGGCGGAGGCCGCCAGGGAGCACCAGATGCGCCACGTGCTCGTCGAGCTGAGCAAGCACGCGCTCGCGGCGGCCGTGCGCCAGTGGAAGGCCGTCGTCGTCGACCACGAAAGGAAGAAGCGCCGCGTCCGCGCGGCCGTGGGCCGCCTCGGCCACCGCAAGGCCGCGGGCGCCTTCCGGTCCTGGCGCGACGCGACGCGGCGCGCGCGGGACGTCGAGCGCAAGTGCGTGCGCGTGATCCTCAAGATGACGCACCGGAGGACCCACTCGGCGTTCCGGTCGTGGCTCCTCACCGCGAGGTCGGAGCGGCGCGCGGAGGCGTTGTGCGGCAAGGTGCTGAAGCGCATGGCGAATCTCGCCGTGTTCGCCGCGTTCCACGAGTGGGCCTGCAACGCGCGCGCGTTGAAGGCCGTCGAGGAGCGGTGCCGCCGCGTCGCGTCGCGGATGGCGCATCGCAAACTCTGGGCCGCGTTCCGCCAGTGGGACCTCGAGGCGCGGGCCTGCGCCGCGGCGGAGGGGACGATGCGGCGCGTGTTGGTGACCATGTGCCACCGCGCGGCCCACGACGCCCTGCGCCAGTGGGTCTGCGTCGTCGCGGACCTCAAAGCCGCGGATCGCAAGGTGCTGCGGTGCGTCGGCCGCATGCTGTCCTGCGCGGTCGCGGCGGGCTGGCGCCGCTGGCTCGAGGTCGACGCGCGGTGCGTGGCCGTCGAGGCGACCGTGCGGCGCACGGTGAAGCACCTGCTCCACCGGTCCCAGTCGCTCGCGTGGCGCCTCTGGGTCGCGAAGACGATCGAGCGCCGCGTCGCGGCGCTCCGCGCGTCGTCCGTCGCCGACGGCGACGCCGTGCGCCTCGTGCGCATCCGCCGGGCGCTCTACCACCGCTGCCACGGCCTCGCGAGGAAGCGCCTCTTCGTCGGGTGGAACACGTGGCTCCGGAACGGCGGCCGCGCGGCGGCCGCGCGGCGGCGCCGGGACCGCGCGTTCGCGCTCGCGGACCGGTGCCTGCGGCGCATGCAGCGCGGCGCGCTCTACGCGGGCTTCCGCCGCTGGGGCGCCGGCGCGCGGCGCGCGGACCAGGGCCTGCAGGGCGTCTTCGGTCGCCTCGGCCGCTGCGCGCACGACCCGCTCCGCGCGCTGCGGCGCCTGGACCGCTTCGACGCCTGGCGCGGCTGGCAGACCTGGGCGCGCTTCACGGGCGAGGCGCGGGCGACGGCGGCGCGCCGGGAGCGGGCCGCGCGCGACGTCGCGCGGCTCTTCTCGGACCGGGACGCGCGCGCGCTCCGCGCGGGCCTCACGTCGTGGGTCCTCCACCAGCGCACGATGGTCAAGCTCGACGGCCTCTTCGGCCGGTGGCAGCGGTCCGCGGAGTGGGGCGCCTGGTCCGCCTGGCGCCGCGCCGTCGAGGACGAGCGGCGCGTCCGCGGCGCGGCGGGCGTCGCGGTCCGCGCGCTCCGGGCGCTCTCGCGCGGGAACCTCGCGCTCGCGTGGCGGTCCTGGGCCGCGTTCCTGCGGGAGGCCCGCGAGGCGGACCTGGAGGCGCGCCTCGACGCCCTGCGGCGCCGCGAGTCCTGCGGCCGCGCCGCGCGGCTCCTCGCGGAGCGCGGCCGCCGCGCCGTCGCGGCCGCGTGGCGCGCGTGGGCCGAGGCCGCGGCGGACCGGAGGCGCGCCGAGGCGCTGATCCTCAAGACGCTGGGCCACCTCAAGCACCGCGCGGCGGCCGCCGCCTGGGGCCGCTGGCGCCGCGCCGCGCGCGAGCGCGGCGACGAGGATCTGGTCGCCGGCTGGCGGCGGCGCGAGCGCGACCACCGGCTCAAGGTGCTGTTCTGGGACCTGGACGGGAAGCGGAGCGGGGCGCTGCGCAAGGCGTTGCTCGTCTGGTCCGGCGCGAACAGCAGCCACACGCGCAACCTGCGCATCGTCGCGCGCTGCGCCGCGCGGCTCCGGCACCGGGGCCTGCTCGCGGCGCTGAACGCGTGGGTCGACGACGTCGCCGAGCGCAAGCGGTTGCGGGGCCTCGTGGCGCGCGCCGTCAAGCGCTTCGGCCGGGACGCGTTGGCGCCGGCCCTGCGCCAGTGGCGGAGCGCCGCGCGGGAGCTCGGGAATCGCGCGCGCGACGTCCACGACGCCGCGCTCCACGTCTTCAAGCGGCTGCTCCTCAAGGACCGGGACGCGCTGCTGCGGGCCTGGGTGCTCTGGCAGGCCCAGGTCTGGGTCGCGCAGGAGGCCTACTGGCGCGCGCAGCGGATCGTGCCCGAGGCCCAGCGGTCCACGCGCGTCACGCTCTCGTCGGCGATGGCCGCGGCGGAGCGGACGGTCCGCCGCATGCTCCGGAAGCGGCTGGGCGCGGGCTGGCGCGCCTGGATCGACGCGCTGGGGGCGCACCGGGCGCTGCACCGCCGCGAGGAGACCATGCGGCTCGTGGTAAGACGCATGCGGCGCCGGGAGCTGGTCTTCGGCGTCGACGTCTGGGCGCGGCGCGCGCGCGAGGCGGCCGCGGCCGCCGGGGCCCGGGCCAGGGCCCTCGGCGCCTTCGTCCACGCGCTCCACCTCTGGCGGCGGCGCGACCTCGGCGCGGCCCTGCGGGCCTGGCGCACCTACCTCGACGGGCTCAGCCTCTCGGGCCGCGCGTGCCGCATGGTGTCGCGCGCGTTCGCGAAGATCGCGCACCGCGGCGCCGCGGACGCGCTCCGGCGCTGGAGAGCGTTCCTACAACGCCTCGACGCGGCGGAGGCGGCGGCGCGGCGCTGCGCGCGCGCGCTCCGGCGCTGGGACATGCGGGACGCGGGCCGCGCGCTGGCGACGTGGCGGCGCAAGGCCGAGAGCGAGCTCGCGCTCGAGGTCGCGGGCCGCGCGGGCGGCGTCCTCGACTCGCCGGAGCGCACCTTCGGCGAGTGGTTCGGGTCGTCGAAGCGAGGCCGGCGGTCGCGGTCGCCGTCGCCCGCGCGGCCCCGCGCGGTCCCGAGGCTGCACGCGCGGCGGATGCTGGCGGCGCACTTCGACGCGTGGGTCGGCCTCGTCGCGGACCGCTGGAACGTGCGGCGCCTCGCCATGCGCGCGTCCGAGGACGTCGCGACGCGGCGCTTCGTGCAGGGCAAGTGCACGCCCATCTACTTCCACGGCATGCCCATGCTCCGGGTGACCGCGCTCTTCGAGGGCGTCGTCGAGAAGGTCACGCACACCGTCGGGCCCCTGGCGATCACGCAGCACGCCTACCTCCACCGCGCGCCGGCGGCCCGCGCGTCGCCCGCGAAGGCGCGCCGCGCGGCGCCGCTCGAGTTCTTCGAGCCGTCGAGCCGCGCGATCGCGCAGTTCGACAAGGCGTGCCGCACGCGGCCCGTGGACACCGTCGCGGACCTGGCCTACGAGCGCGAGCGCTACCGCCAGGTCGTGGACCGCCGCGCGCGCGCGCGGCGCGCCGCGAGGCCCGCGGCGCCGGGCGCGGGGCCCGGGGACGCCTACGCGACGCCCCGCGGCAAGTCCGAGATCACGAACGCGACCGCATCGCTCGAGCGCGTCCTCGTGCCCTTCACGAACGGCACCGTCTTCTTCGGCAGCGCGGAGAAGTCCTAAGTTATTTCGAGTATGTAGTGAAGAAGGCCTGGAGAGGTGTCGCAGCCTGGCATTGGCGATCACCGGCCACAAGCTCGCGAGCCCTACGCCCTACGTTCGACAAGACCACAGCGTCCATGAAGCGCGTCCGCGATGCATACGAGGCCGACGGTGGACCGGCGACGCGAATGCGCCATCAGGAGGAGGCGGAGCCGGCGAGCGGGATCGGCCGCTATGATGAGCCCCGGAGCATCCTCGGCGACGGGCACGCACGTCGCTGTGATACGGCTCCGCCGGGCTTCGGCACTCCTCGAGCTGCCGTGTTGTCGCGCCGCCAACGCCTCGGTCGGCGTCCGCCTGTCGCGGCGCGGCGTGCCGCGCGATATCGTCCGCGATATTCTCGCGCTCGCCTTCGCTCTGCCGGGCGAAGCGGAGCGGCGCGCGGCGCGGACGAGCGACGATGCTTTCTTGGCCGCCGCCGAGAGCCTTGAGGCGATCCGCGCCCGCCACGCGTTGGAGAACAAGGCCTGGGAGGAGAATCCTGACCCCGAGAGCTTCGGTCCAGGCTGGCGACACGGTCGCGAGGTCGATGACTTTCGCGCCGGCGAATCGTCCACGAGACTTGATCCGCCGCTGCGCCCCGACGCTCTCGAGACGGCCGTCCGCGAGGCGCTGGCGGGCCCGCCGGGACTGACCGACGTCGGGCGAACATTAACGCTGCTCGCGGCTTCGCCCGAGGCCTACGAAGTCGACTGGCAAAACGACATGGGCCAGCAAGACGGCTCATTTAGTCCCTTGTTCCCGTGGGAAGCCAATTTCCCAGGTCTGATTGGCTGCGCGACTCTCACCGTGAAGTCGAGCGTTCTCAAGGAAGAAGGCGTATGGATGGGCGGCGCCACGCGGCGCATGCGTACACTCGCTGAAAAAGGTTACGACGGCGAGTCATATGATTATTATCGCGCCGAGGTCATGGGCGAGTTCGCGCTCGCCCCGACGGAGCGCTCCTTCACGGCTCTCAGCGGCTCTGTCTTTAGCGTCTCCGAACTCGCACTCGCCGTGACTTCGATCCCGGAATCTTGGCGACAGATCGGCCGCTACTTCGGTCTGGTGTATGGCCAAGGCCAGCAGCTCTATGAGGTCGGCTACGAACCAGTGCTTAGTTGTGGTCGCTGGGAGAAGCTTGAGTTTTCTGATCGACCGGATGATGACCGGCCGCCGAAGTTCGCCTCGTGCACGCTCGTCGCGGATCTCGATAATGCAAAATTCCAGCTTGCCGACGGCGGCCGAGGCGTGCTCGAGGTCCAGTGGAAGGTCTCTTACGAAGATGATTGGCATGACCACACAGAACTCCATTTCGACAAGTACACGGGCCGGGATGGCAACTTCTGTCATCCGTCGGACATCCTGAAGATGTGGGACTGGGACGAGGATCTCACGTGTCGGTACGATCGGCACGACCCAGAGTTTGAGTCAGACGAGGAGTCGCCTCTCAGTCCGCTTATGAAGCTCCGCAAAAAATGCATCGATCGCGCGCGCTGGGCCCCGGAGTACAAGCGAGAGCCAAACGCCCTTCTCATCACCGAGCACTCCAAACCCCTGCCAGATTTCTCTTCCTTTGCGTCCAACTCCGACTCCGAGTCGGAGTCCGACTAGCTAGCGTCCAGCTCCGGCCGGTCCCTAAGTCGCGTCACCCGCCGACGCCCGCCGACTAGCTCACTGATCGCGCGAGATACAACTGTCCTGGTACAGTGGTAGTGATGCGTGTCTACTACGGCAGCGACTCGTTAAAGAGGCGCCCGAGCCAGTACGGGAGGAACGCGCCGGCGAGGTCGAACGCGCTCTCGCGGGCGAGCCGCTCTACGCGCGCCCGCTCGCGCCGGAGGAAGTCGGGCGTCACCGTGGTCCAGGCGTCGAACTTCGGCCGCGCCGTCGAGGGTCCTATCATCACGACCGGCAGCTTCGCGTAGAGCGCGTCGTGCGTCGGGAAGTGGGTCCGCAGCACGATGGGGACGGCGCCGAGCAGGAGCGCCTCCCAGACGCGGTAGACCTGGATACCGTTGCCCCGCGGGCACGCGACGAACTGGGCTTCGCGGAGCCCCGCGACGTAGGCCGTGTGGTTCACGGGCGTCGGGTCGCAGGCGAAGCCGCTCGCCTCGAAGGCCTCGAGCATGCGCTGGCGGCCGTAGCTGTGGCCGCCGCCGCCCCAGCGCATCCGGTAGCTGTCGCAGTGCAGGAGCCGCCGCCGGCCGAGCCAGCCGTCGAGCGAGATCGGCCGGAGCTCGGCCTCCCAGTCGATGACCTCCTCGGGCTTGGGCGCGACCCTCCGCGACGAGAATTTGGCGAGGTGCCCGCCGACGAGCGCGTCGAGGACGCCGAGCGGCGCGGGCACGACGTCGTGGCGATGGAACGCCGGGTTCGTCGAATAGTAGGTGACGCCGTGCAGCGGCCGCAGCGTCGCCGCGTCGCCGCCCTCCTGCGGCCACAGCTTGAAGGCGTCCATGTGCCAGAACGCGACGCGTCCCGTGAGATTCGCGGCGACCTGGTCGAGCACGGCGTCGGCGTCGGCGTTCTCCGGCCGCAGGCACAGGTTGAAGTTATCGGCGGGGCAGCGCACGACGACGTTGCGCAGCCCGCGGGTCGCCGCGCGCAACCGCTGGCCCGGCTTGTGGCTCGGCGAGACGCGCCACGAGGGCGCGAGCTCGAGCATGGCGCGGTAGCGCGCCAGCGAGGGCACGACCGCCGCGCGCGCGGGGACAGGCACGTCGAGGGAGCCGTAGGCGGCGATCATGCACGGCGCAAAGCAGGCGCGCACCTCGTCCAAGGGCGTGAACACCGGGATCTTGGCGCGCAGGCACTCGAGGATGCGTCCGTCCCGCTCTCGGTGCTGGCACCACGGCGCCGCGCTCGGCAGGGCTGCGAGGAGAATGGCGATGCGCATCGAGTGCGCGCTCAGCAGCAAGGGTGCGCGCAAGTGCTGCCCATCGTGTCGCCTTGATGAGTCGAGCGCGTTGAGGCTCAGCGCGGGTGCGCACAAGGGCTGCCCATCACGGCTTGCAAAGCGTTGATGGTAATGTTCTATTCAATTACAGCTTCAAATTCGCTTCGGGCACACGATGTGCTCCGCTGGCGCCCAAAATAAGTGCGAAGAGGGCCCGTCGACGCAAACCAAGGCGCTTCTAGGGCGCATATGTGGTCCAGACGACGAGCCATCGCGCGCCAACAATTTCTGCTTCCTGGACTCCATCTTTGTCCAGTCGACGAAGGGCAGCCTCTCGATACAGGCCACGGGCTGCCCGGACCATGAGATCTTCGGAGGACCTCTCGTCAAGGCCAGCGCGTCGTACGGCGATTGCGGCGCGGGCTGCGGCGACGCGTGCTGCTCGGGCAGCTGCGGCGGCGCGTGCTGTTCCGGAAGCGCCTGCGGCTCCTCTTGCTCTGGAAGCAGCTGCGGCGCCTCGTGCTGCGGCGGTTCCTCGTGCTCCGGGAGCAGCTGCGGCGCCTCGTCGTGCTGCGGCGGTTCCTCGTGCTCCGGGAGCGGGTGCGGCGCCTCGTGTTGCTCGGGAAGCTCCTGCGCGGGCGGCTGCTGCGGCGCGTCCTGCGGGCGGCGGCTCTGCGGCGCGTCGTGCTGCGGGTCGGCCTGCGGGACCGGAGCGACCGCGGCGGACGCGTCCGCCCTCGGCATCTTCACGCCCATGGAGCACCGCTATGCCTACGTCGTCCCCTCGGCGCCCGAGGTCGGCGCGGGGTCGACGTACGTCGCGAGCGACCACCCCTACGGGGACCCCATCGGCGTCGCCGTCAACGGCGTGCCCTTCTTCGCGGACCACGGCGCGGCGCCGACGGTCTTCGAGTTCGACGCGTGTGGCGGCCACGTGGACCGCGCGCACCGGCACCACTACCACGGCCCGCCGCTCTGCCTCCTGCGGAGTTTGGGCGCGCTCGGCAACGCGACGCGACCGACGCTCGGCGCGGCTACTTGGGCGGCCTCCGGCGCGCCGAGCCCGCGCGTCGGCGTCATGCTCGACGGCTTCCCGCTCTTCGGGCCCTACGACGCGTCGGGCGCGCTCCGGACTTCCGCGACGCTCGGCCCGTGCAACTTCGACGTTGCCACCCGGCGCTACCACGTCTCGCCGGACCCGCCCTACGCCCCTTCGTGCCTCCGGGGCTCGGCGATCGGGTCCGTCGCCGCGTCCATGACCGCGGCGCGCTGCCTGCTCCGGGGCCTCGAGAGCGCGTACTGCGAGGGCGCCTGCGCGCTCGACCCGCCGGCGCCGTGCCCGCGCGGCGGCCGCGGCGCGGCGCTGCCCGCGGTCTACGCGGCGCTCTTCGTCGCCTGCCTGCTCGGCGCGCTCTGGGGCGGCCGCGGCGCGATCAAGCGGTCCTTCGACGACGTCCTGGCCCGGCGGCTCCGCGGCGCGCGGCCGCCGCCGTGGGCGACGGCGGCGCTGAGCTCGCTCGGATCGCTCGTGCTCCTCGCGTGCGCGCCGCGCCTCATGCGGACCATCTACCGGAACAACGGCGACAAGGCCGACGCGTACCAGAACGACGCCGCGGCGTCCTACCTCTCCGTCGCGGGCCTCGTCTACGGCCTCGTGCTCGCGCAGACGCTGAGCGTCGCGAGCGAGCGTCTCGCGGCGATCCAGGCCCACCTCGCGGCGGAGTGCGCGGGCCTCCACCGCACGTTCCTCCTCATCGCCGCGCTCTCGGCCGCGAGCGCCGACCAGCTCTCGTTGAAGACGGAGCTCCTCGACATCCTCTTCGTCTACGCGGAGCACCTCCTCGAGGAGATCACCGTCGGCCGCTGCGCGGACGTGAAGCAGCTCGCCAAGCTCTACAGCATCGTCCCGGCGCTCGAGAAGGCCTCCGCCAACTGCGGCGAGTTCCACAACGACATCGCCAAGAGCTCGCTCGAGGCCGCGGGCTGTGAGAAAATCAACCGCCGGTTTGGGACGTCCCGACCAAACGTTGAAATTATCGAGCTCGGTCAAATCGAAGTCGATTTGGCTGATTTTTGGACGAATCGATCGCTCTCGTCAAGTTCTCGAAGCAGAGCCGAAGAGCTTGCGTCAAAACTCTCAAATACGCGCACATTGAAGTCGGGCTGAAGATTTGATTTCCACACAGGCCGCGGGCGAGACGGCGACGAGCCGCTACGCGCGGTCGGCGCTCGAGCGCCGCGCGCTCCACTGGAGCCTCTACGCGCTGAATCTCCTCCTCTGCAACGGCATGTTCTTCGGCATATTGTTGATTCAGAGCGGGTCCGAGGGCCTGAACGCGGCGCTCTGCTTCGCGACCGTCGCGTTGATCGCGGCGAGCTCGTACCTCATCGCGGACCTCGACGCGCCCCACGAGGGCCTCTTCGTCGTCGACCTCGAGGACGCGTGCAAGCTCTACGACCAGATCGTCGAGCTCAAGAGCCCGAGCCGCCTCGCGCAGGGCCTCCAGGACGAGCTCGTGTCCTGCCGCCAGCTCGCGCGCGCGATGTCGCGCGAGAGCGACGGCGAGCTCACGCCCCATGTCACGGGCGGGCGGCTGCGGGCCAAGGTGCTCGCCGTCGCGAGCCTCCGCGGGTCGGGCCACGCGGGGAACGGCGCGGGCGCGCCGCCACGCGTGCACCCGAGCGACGCGGCCGCGAAGCCAGGCGCGAGCCTGCTGAACCCATAAATTTCTCGGCCCCGACTTGGCAGATCCCAGCAGTGTACTAAGACGCGGCGGGGTATGCCTAGACCGTGAGGCCGAGGCCCGTGGAGAACTTGTCGCGGCCGAGGTTCTTGGGCTGCGGGATGAGGACCTTGTCGATGAGGCCGTACTGGACGGCCTCGTGGGCGCTCAGGTAGAAGTCCCGCTTCATGTCCTGGTGGATGACGTCGATGCTGTTGCCCGTCATCTTGACGAGCGCCTTCTCCATGCGGTCGTTGTCGCGGAGGTTCTCGCGGACGACGAGGCCGATGTCCGACGCCTGGCCCTGGAACGGGTCGTCGAGGCCCGTGCGCTGCATGAGGAAGCGCGCGTTCGGCAGCGCGTAGCGGCAGCCCTTCGTGCCCGCGCCGCAGAGGAACGCGCCCATGCCCGTCGCCAGCCCCAGGTTCACCGTCGTCACGGGGCACTCGAGCGTCTGCAGCGTGTCGTAGACGGCGAGGCACGGCTTCATGAGCGCGCCGGGCACGTTGAAGTAGATGGAGATGGGCTTCTTCGGGTCCTCGAAGCGCAGGTAGAGGAGCACGGCGATGAGCGAATTCGCCTGCTCCTCGTCGAGGAAGTTGCCCACGAGCATGATGCGGTCGCGGTAGAGCCGCTGGTAGATGTCGACGAACATGTGGCTGTCGCTCCCGGGCGGCTGGTACGGCACCTGCGGCACGCCCTGCCTGCGCGCGGAGACGGGGGCGTGAGTGAATGGCGCATAGTGCTAGGCGGGGCGCCGGGGCGGCACGGCATCATCGTCATGGGTCGTCGCTCCGCGGTACGCGGCGCCGCTTTCGTGGGCACGCGCCGCAGCGCATTCGGCTTGCTCACGAGGGCCGAGGCCAGGGCGGCCACGGCGAGCAGGCGCGCCGCGAGCATATTAGCTGGCCGGCACCTCAATCTCCCGCGAGCCTCGACTGCACCTTCGGCGAGGTCGGCGGCGCCGCGGATATTGCCGTCCAGCGGTTGACGAATCGACGCGCAAACGAGAGCTGCGGGGCAGCCAACAAGGGAGGGATGTCGAGCGCCGCCGCCCTCATCGACCGGTTCCGTAACGCGCCGCCGACAGCGCCCGAGGAGCGGGAGCGGCGCATCGGCACCGGGGAGCTCGAGGAGGTCTGGTGGAAGGCCGACCGGCCGCCGGCGGCGCGCCGCGAGGCCCGGAGCCCCCGCTACGAGGCGCCGCCGGAGCGCTTCGGCCGCGACGAGGCGCGGGCGGCGGCCCTCGCCGCCGAGGACGAGGCGCTGCTGCGGCGGGAGCTCGAGCGGCGGTCGCGCGCGTCCGCGGAGTTCGAGGCGCCGTCGCCGCCGCCGCCGCGCCGCGCGGCGCCGCCGTCCGCGCGGTGGCGCCCGGAGGCCTCGTCCTCGGCGGCCCTCGCCGCCGAGGCCGAGAAGACCCTCGCCGCCGAGGACGAGGCGCTGCTGCGGCGGGAGCTCGAGCGGCGGTCGCGCGCGTCCGCGGAGTTCGAGGCGCCGTCGCCGCCGCCGCCGCGCCGCGCGGCGCCGCCGTCCGCGCGGTGGCGCCCGGAGGCCTCGTCCTCGGCGGCCCTCGCCGCCGAGGCCGAGAAGACCCTCGCCGCCGAGGACGAGGCGCTGCTGCGGCGGGAGCTCGAGCGGCGGTCGCGCGCGTCCGCGGAGTTCGAGGCGCCGTCGCCGCCGCCGCCGCGCCGCGCGGCGCCGCCGTCCGCGCGGTGGCGCCCGGAGTACGACGACGCCATCGACGGCGTCGACTGGGACGCGCCCGCCCGCGGCCGGTCGGCGAGCGCGCCGCTGGCGTCGACTGCGCCCGGCGGCCGGAGCGCCGCGGGCTGGGCGAGCCGCATGCGCCGCGCGGAGACGATGGGCGGAATAGAAGAGCAGGTCGACCTCGGCGACTTCGGCGGCGGCCTCGGCGACTTCGGCCTCGTGCCCGTCGACGACTTCGACGTCGCCGCGTCGACGTGCCCCGGCGGCGTCGACGCCTACGAGTCGGACGGCATCGTCGCCGACGCGAGGCGCCGGCTCCGCGCGTCGGCGTCGCGCCGCGCGTCGGCGCCGCCGCCGCCGAACCCGGCGACGGCGACGCTCGCGGACATCGCGTCGAACCTCGACGCGGCCATCGGGACGATGACGCAGCGCCTCGGCGCCGAGGACCTCGCGCCGTGCCGCGCCGACGGCGTCACGGTCCGCTACGGCGACGACCCCGGCCCGGGCGGCGGCGGCTACGGCGGCGGCGGCTACGGCTGCGGCGGCTACGGCTGCGGCGACTACGGCTGCGTCGGCCCGCCCCGCGGCGCGCCCCAGACCCTCGGCCAGATCAGCGAGCACCTCGACGCGGCGCTCTACTCGTTCACCAAGATGTACCAGGCCAAGGAGGCCGCGGAGAAGAAGCTCCAGGACGACCTCCAGAAGGAGAAGGACGCGGAGCGGCAGCAGATGGAGCGCGAGGTGCGCGAGGCCCACTCGTTGCGGCTCCTCGAGGCCGCGGAGACCTTCGGCTGCGGCGGCGGCTGCGGCGGCGGCTGCGGCGGCGGCGGCGGCGGCGGCGGCGACCACGGGTGCCACGACGCCTCCTGGCAGCACTGCCAGGCGCGCTGCCACGACCCCTGCGGCGGCCACCCGCCCGTGCCCATGAACCGCATGGCGCCGGACCCCTGCGCGCCGCCGCCGGCGCCCGAGCCCGAGTACACGCTGGCGGACGCGTCGCACAACGTCCAGGCGGAGCTCGACCTCGCGCTGGGCCTCATGCAGAAGCGGCTCGGCTGCAAGGTCATGGTCGGCAAGGACGAGGCGACGAAGCCCGGCGACGACCCGGACGTGACGGGCCTCGAGACGGAGGAGGAGAAGGAGGCGCGCGAGAAGAAGGAGGCGCGCGAGGCGAGCGACAAGGAGTTCGAGCGGCGCATGGACGAGGCCGAGGCCCGCGCGACGACGCGCCTCGACCTCTTCGGCGGCGACGACGACCTCGGCAGCGACTGCGCCTACGAGCCGCACCCGGCGACGCTCTGCCCGGAGCTCGCGGACGCGGAGCGGCGCGGCGCGGACTACCGCCTCGCCACCGACGAGGCCATCGACCGCTTCCTCGAGGAGCCCGCGGCGCGCCTCACCTACGACGACATGCTCGAGGAGCCCTGCGCCGTCGGGCCCCGCGAGCGCTACGTCGAGGTCTACGACGACGGCTGCGACTGCGACGGCTGCGGCCGCGACGACGCGCCGCCGCTCCGGACGTCGCGCGCCTTCGTCTCCGCGGGCCACGGCGCCGCGGCCGTGAGCGCCGTCGCCGACGCGCGCGCGCGCGCGAGCCACCACCACTTCTCCGCGTCCGCGTCGCTCCACAACGTCCGGTCCTCGCGCGTCGACCGCCTCAGCCGCACGGCGCCGGGCGAGCTCGGCGACTTCGCGTACGTCCCCGACGAGCCCTTCGCGTACGCCCCCGACGAGCCGGGCCGGCCCCGCGGCGCCCGGGACCGCCTCAGCGACGGCCGCGCGCGGCTCCGCGGCCTCGAGGACTCCGGCGCGCTCGACGCGACGCTCGACAACCGGGAGCGCCTCGCCCGCGTCAAGACCCTGCGCAAGGCCGTCCGCGGCGAGGCCCTCGACAAGGGCGGGGTCTAAGATTCCTTCTTCGAATGGGAGTTGGCGGTGCGGTCGTTCAGGACTCGTTCAGGACGAGTCCAGACGAGTCAGGCGTCGAGTCGCGTGGGTTAGGCAAGGGCTCAAGTAGCCAATGATGCCGCGCAACAGGCCTCCTCGAAGTGCGTCGTCGGCGCGTGCACCACTCTCGTCGTCGCAGGCGCGACCCGACGCCCTCGGTTTTGCTGCTCGGCTTGCACCTACGCAACGCTCCTTGACATTTGCGATGAAGGCAGCCTGGTTGCTTCTCGCGACGGCCTCCGCCTTGCAGTCCTGCGCACCGCGCTCGAGCCTCCGGCGCGCGCGGCCCGGGTTCGCGCCCGTGTTCCGCATCACGAATTCCGCGTCGACGGAGGCGGCGGAGCGCAACGAGCTGCGGAAGCCCAAAAAGATCAAGGCCGCGGAGCCCGACCTCGGGAGCCCGAGCGACACGTTCGAGGCGCTCTGCGTCATGTGCGGCGTGCCCCCGGACCGCGAGGCGTCGCTGGATTTCCAGGGCTTCGCGCTGGCCTTCGAGCAGCTCTTCAACCGCAACGTGCCGCTGACGCCCGAGGCGCTCGACGAGCTCAAGGCCGCCGTCGACTCGGGGAACGACGAGGACGTGTCCATGGCCAACTGGAACTTCTTCCACAAGCAGTGGACGGCGTCGGCGTCCATGGCGGGCCACCTCGACGGCCGCGTCGCGAAGAAGCGGGCGCGGGCGGACCTCGACGCGGAGAAGAAGCGGCTCGAGGACGTCGCGAAGAAGCGCGAGGACGACTTCCAGCAGCGCCTGGTCAAGGCGACGCAGGAGAACCTGGAGAAGGCGCGGTCCCAGCCCGCGCTCCTCGCCAAGGACGCCCAGGCGAAGCAGGCGGCGAAGAGCAAGTGGTTCGAGGCGCGCGAGTCCGCGGCCAAGGCCGCGGCGGAGTACCGGTCGCTCGACCCGGCCAAGTGGGCCGACGTCGTCGCGGACATCGGCGGCCTCGACGCGGCCCTCGAGGAGATCCGGCGCCGCGTCTGGACGCCGCTCTGCGCGCCGGCGGCCCTGCTCGACGAGCTCGGCGCGGAGCGGCTCAAGGGCGTGCTCCTCTACGGGCCGCCGGGCTGCGGCAAGAGCTACCTCGCGGCGCGCCTCGCCAAGGGCCTGAGCCGCCGCGCGGTCACGGTCGTGTCCGGGCCGGAGATCATGGACAAGTACGTCGGGAGCTCCGAGGCGCAGCTCCGCGAGCTCTTCACGAATCCGCCCAAGGTCGAGCCGCGCGTCGGCGACGCGCCGGACGTGCACATGGTCGCCGAGGCCAACGAGCTCCACGTCATCCTCCTCGACGAGTTCGACGCCATCGCGCGGCAGCGCTCCGACGGCAAGACGTCGGACACGTCGACGCGCGACTCCGTCGTGAACCAGCTCCTCGCGCTCATGGACGGCGTGTCGGAGTTGCCCGTGCCGACGTTCGTCCTCGCGCTGACGAACCGCCGCGAGCTCGTCGACGACGCCGTGCTCCGGCCGGGCCGCCTCGAGGTCCACGTCGAGGTGCCGCGGCCCGACGAGCGCGGCCGCCGGTCCGTGCTCAGGATCCACGCGGAGAAGATGCGGTCCTCGGGCCGGCTCCGCCTCGGCGGCGCGCCGCCGCCGCCCGAGGAGGACGCGCCGCCGCAACCCGAGGACGCCTGCGCGCTCGACGTCGTCGACGACGCGACCTACGACGCCTGGGTCGCCGACGTCGCCGCGCGCACGGACGGCTTCTCGGGCGCGGCCATGGCCGCCGTCGTCCGCGCGGCCGTGTCCCGCGCGCTCGACCGCTCCGTCAAGTCCGAGGACGTCACGGCCTGCACCGTCGACGGCGGCGACTTCGACCGCGCTGTCGACGACGTCCGCCGGTCCACGCTCGAGCTCGCGTGGACCGTCGACGACGCGCCCGCCGCCGAGGACGTCGCCGAGGTCGCCGTCGAGGACGTCGTCAAGGTCGCCGTCGAGCCGGGGCGGCCCCTCGGCGGAGACGGCCGCGCGCGGCTCCGCGGCCTCCAGGAGGGATCCGGCGAGCTCGACGCGACGCTCGACATGGCGAAGCAGATCTTCGCGCGCCAGCGCGACGGCGCGAGCGGCGCGAGCGTGAGCTGGAACTCGATGGACAACTACGGCCCCTACGACTACCGTCGCGCGCTCCGGGACCCAGACGCGTACCACCGCGACGCGGGCACGCCGGGTTCGAATCGCCCGCGCGCGCGCGACGACGACGACGACGACGACGACCGACCGACCGACTGACTGACCTAAGCCGCGTGAATAGCTGGTTACGTGTCTATGGGAGCGGGGAGGGGGTGCCCTTTCTGAGACTTTCACTCTCTGCCGATACCGAGCAGATCCGCCACCGGCATGTCCGATGACAAGGATAGGTTGATGGTAGGTGCACTGAAGACCTCAGAGAACTCATCTTTGACCCACAGTTCGGCATTGATGGCAAGTTTCCCATCTTCATGCGTCAAGCCCCGAATTTGCGCTTCCGTGAAGCGATTCTCAACATATACTGACCAGTGTTTCTCTTCTTGGAATGGAAAGCGATTTGGGTGATCCCGGCTTCCATACGAGAGCGTTCGACCCGTGCGATTCGTAGTAGGAAGCATGAATAATCTGCCATGCCATCTCGAGGGAATCTTGTCGAGTTGGTTGCGCATGCAGAATCGGTAAGCGGTGCCTTCGGGGTCACCTATCGTCTCCGGCACGTCTTTAGCCGATATCTGGAGTCGAAATCCGGGCCAAACTAAGAAAGATGCAGAGAAGAATGCGCTGTCCGGCTCATGCGCTTTGAAGATGTCTTTGGCCAGAGGACGCCAAACGAACTTGACGCGCGTCCAGTCGCGTAAATATTCCAGTTTGCCCTCGAGCTCCGACGTCTTCGATTCGAGCTCCGCGATCTTCGTGGCCGCAGTCAGCGCGTGCGTCGCCGCGTGTTCGACCAGGTGCGTCGCCATATCGGCGCGCGTCGCTCGGTGCCCGCAGCCGAAATGGGGGCACGGGTGCAGGCAGACGGGCTCGTGCTGGCCGAGGAGGCAGCGATGCGCCACCGTTTCGGAGCACACGGGGCAGACGACCGGTTCCAGCGGGCACTCTCCCGCGAGGTGGGCGCGGTATTCGCCCACGATGCCGCGCCAGGGGCAGGGCTCGAGGCCCTTGGCCCGCTTCGTCGGGGGCTCGGCGTCATCTTCGCGCCTCGCCGCGTGCTTGCACCGCATCGTCGCCTCGAGCATGATCTCCTCAAAGGGCAGGAGCCTCGTGGCTGGGGTCGCGGGCCGGCGGCAGGTCGGGCATTCCGACTTCCTCGTCAGGTGCTTGGCGATGCAGTCGGAGCAGAACGGGTGCCCTTGGACGCACACGGACGTCGGCTCGTGGAGCAGATCGGCGCAGATGACGCAGGCGAATCTCACCCGCGCGTTGGCGTCGTCCAGGAGCTCCGTGTCGATCTTCTCCATGATTTCGCTCTTCCGGCTGCCCGGGCGCAGCCCCGCGGTCCCGGCGGTGGCGGGAGGCGCCGCCTCGCGCGTCGCGTCAGCCGCGGGCTCCCGTGCGTGCGCGCCGCCCGGGCGCAGCCCCGCGGTCCCGGCGGTGGCGGAGGCGCCGCCTCGCGCGTCGCGTCAGCCGCGGGTTCCCGCGCGCGCGCGCCTTGGGGTTCCGGACGCTGCCCGGGCGCAGCCCCGCGGTCCCGGCGGTGGCGGACGGGGCGAAGAGGGCCCCACCGCGGTTTCTGACCCGCGGTTGGCCTCCGTCACCTGCGATGCCAGGCCCCCCGCTCTGGCACCCAGACCGAGTCCTCGAGTCCGAGCCGACTTCAAGTTGAAACTCAACTTTGGCTCAGCCCAGCGCGGCCGATGGCGTCCTCGCGGCCGGCCTCGCCGTCGGCAGCGCTGCAGCCGCACAAGGCCGCACAAGGTCCCCCTCTTTTTATAAAGTTCCTCGTCGCGCTCTCCGTCGGCGGGTCCGTGCTCTTCATCAGCTCGCACAGCTACCACAGCGGCGCCGGCGGCCGCGAGGTCATGCACCACCTGCGGCGGCGCGAGCACTTCGTCGGCGACGCCGTGCAGGCTCTCGGCGCCGACGCGGCGGCCATGTTCGAGGAGACGGCGAACCTCTGGCGCGAGACCGTGGAGCAGATCAAGAACGACCCGACGGACGAGGTCACGCCCGAGGACGACGTCGGCCACGGCCCGCCGGCCGCCGCGCTCGCGGCCGCGTGGCCGCCGCGGCCCGCGGCGGTGCCCGCGCCGCCGGCGGCGACGCCGGCGCCGGCGCCGCGGGACTGCGCGAGCGCGCGCTACTGGCGCGCGGGCGCGGGCTCGGCCGCGCGGCGCGCGCTCCGGCGGCGGACGGCAGGCGAGCCGGCGAGCGACGGCCGCTTCGTGACCTTCGAGCCGGACCACGGCGGCTGGAACAACATCCGCATGGGCATGGAGACGGCGGCGCTCTTCGCCTGGTCCACGGGCCGCACGCTCGTGCTCCCGCCGGCGCAGCGGCTCTACCTCGTGTCGAACCGAGGGCGCGCGCACGGCCCCTTCGACTTCTACGACCTCGAGCTCATCGCCAAGGGCGGCGGCGTGATCACCATGGAGAAGTACCTCGAGCTGCGCACGGGCCGGCCGACCGTCGACGGCTGCGCGGCCGGCAAGAAGTGCGACGGCCTCACGGCGGCGCTCCGGCGCCTCGGCGCGACCGCGGAGTGGCGGCCGCGCGTGGACTTTCTGCTGCTGGGCTCGCGCTACGGCGCGCCGGGTGCGGCCCAGGCCGCGTCCATCGCGCGCCACGCCAAGGGCCGCCGCGTCGTCGACGTCGACGCGGACGCGACCGCAAACTCCACCACAATCCACTTCGCGACGGACGCGAAGCGCGACCTCCGCTTCCTGACGCACTACTACACCTTCATGCGCTGGGCGACGGCGGACCGCGGCCGCGCGGCGCGGCGCGTCGCGCGCGACGAGCTGCGGTATAGGGCCGAGATCCAGTGCGCGGCCGCGGCCGTCGTCGACTTCCTCGCCGCGCGCGCGGGAGGCCGGCCCTGGGCCGCGGCGCACGTGCGCCGCGGCGACTTCCAGTTCAAGGCCGCCAAGGTCGACGCGGGCGTCGTCGCCGCCGCGCTCGACGCCAAGGCGAAGCCCGCGGGCGCGGCCGTCGTCTACGTCGCCACGGACGAGGGCGACCGCGCGTGGTTCGGTCCCCTCGCGGCGGCGGGCTACGACCTCGTCTTCCTGAGCGACGTCCTGGAGCTCGGGGCCGTCAAGGCGGCCCTCGACGCGGACCCGAACTGGGCGGGCATGGTCGAGCAGCTCGTCGCGGCCGCGGCGGACGTCTTCCTGGGCACGTGGTGGTCCACGTTCACGGGCTACATCACGCGCGTCCGCGGCTACCGCGGCAAGCGCAACGCGACCTTCTACGTCCTGCCCGAGTACCGCGACGCCTTCGCCAAGCCCTCGCCGCCCGCGGGCGGCGCGGCCTGGTGGCGCGAGTGGCCGACGGCCTTCGAGCTCATCGACGACGCGCCCGGGTGAGTAATTTGGGAACTAGTCACGCGCGGGCCGCTCCGGCGGCGGCGCGTGGCAAGCGGCCACGAGCGCCCGGCGCGCGCGCGCCCTCGCGAGCTTGGCAGCTGAACTCGTACGCGTCGCGCCCCCACCAGCAGCGGGCCGCGGAAACGAGCACACCATCGGCAAAACAAACACAGGGGGGAATTACGAGGGCCGGTGCGCGGGCGCGGCCGGCGGCGGCCGCGGCGCGTTGTTGACGATTTTCGGGTCGAAGTCGGGCCTCCGCGGCATGTACCAGACGTAGTCGCCGTAGTCCGTCGAGGGGAACTTGCGGGCCTCGACGGGGAAGTCGAGGACCTCGGGGATGATCGTGTGGACGCCCCGGTAGACCGCGTCGCTCCGCGAGTCGTCGTTCGTCTTCGCGGCGACGCGCCGCGCGATGCGGTGCGGCATGCCGTCGCGGTGCGCGACGTGGCGCGACCCCGCGAGCACGACGAGCCAGCCGTCGCGCTGGACGTCCCTGTCGATGGCGTCCTTCTGGAAGGTCTCGTAGTGCATCGCGACGGACTCGGACATGTACTCGTCGCGGAAGTTCTGGACGTCGACGACGCGCGCCTCGTCGCAGCCCTTCTTCGCGGCCATGCCGTCGAGCGTGCGCTTGCGCCGCGCCGCGCCGCCCAGGGCGTCGTCGACGCCGCCCTCGGGCAGGAACTTGGAGCAGACGGGGTCGCCGGAGACGGCCTCGACGCCCTTGTGCTCGACGAGCGACAGGAGCTCCGGCGGCGGGCTCAGGCCCACGAGCCGCGTGCGCGTCTTCCGCGCGTGGTCGAGGATGGGCAGGTAGTGGTAGGGGTCGTAGCCCCAGGTCGTGTCCCAGGACACGGCCTTGAGCAGGTCCTCGAAGTCGAAGTCGTAAGTCCCGTCGCCGGCGGCCCGCGCGTTCACGAAGCGGTCGAGCCAGACCTGGTGCGTCCGCTGGAAGGCCTCGAGGCCCACGGCCACGCGCGCGCTCTCGTCGCGCCGCTTCACGGCGGCCGTGAGCGTCTTGATGGACCGGAGCTGCGCGAGGTGGTGGTCGAACGAGTCGTGGCGCTCCGCGACGCAGAGCACGCCGCGCGTCTTGCGGATGGGCCCGAGCACGGCCGTGTCCACGAGCTTCGTCAGCATCTCGGGCGAGGCCGGCATGGACATGCCGCTGTGCGTGTCGTAGAGCACGCCCGCGTTGACGGTTGATGCGGCTGCGCTCGGTTCGGGCGCCAGCGTCGTCGACGCGAGCGCCACGCCGCCTTTGAAGATGTTGCGCCGCGAGAAGGTGAGCGAGGAGGCGAGCGCGAGGCAGGCCGCGAGCTGCAGCAGCGCCGCGCGCATGGTCTTCCGCGGGTTGTTGATGTGCCAGCGGACGAGGAAGGTGTTGGCAGCACGAGGCGAACACTGCGAAGCGTGCGAGCTGGATGTGGCCAAAACTGCAGCTTGAAGGTGTTGATGCTTTGTTGCTGTTACGTCGTTCAAGGCACGCGCAGCGTACAGCGCGCGGCATAACCGCCCTCAGTATCGCGCTTAGACCCGGTCGCGGCGGCTCGTCGAGCGCCGAGGCGAGTGTTCCGCTTGCTCGCGGCTCGCGCGCGGTTGGCGCGGGCGCGCGGGCAGCGGATGGCGGGAGACGTCGCGATTACAGCCCACGCATCTTCTGAACTACCGAGCTCGCGCCACGACGGCGTACTCCGCATGTCGGCTTCGGCAGGCGCGGCGGCCGGCGGGCTCCTGTGCGAGCCGTCATCACCAGCGCAGTCACAGCCTTCGACGATCCAGAGCCCTCCGCACATCAACAAAATGAAGCTCTCCCTCTCGCTCCTCGTCGCCGGCGCCGCCGCCTTCCAGGCGCCCTCCCACTCGGCGCGCGCGCCCACGGAGCTCGCCGCCACGAAGTCCCAGGTGCGCGCATCGACGGTCGCCGGACTGCGGCAGATGTTCTCATTGTCGCCCGTTCCGTAGGTCGCCGCCGCGATCCTCGGCGCGTCCGCGGTCTTCGCGCCCACGGCCGCCTTCGCCGTGTGTCCGCGGCGTCCGCCAACGCGACCCCTCGCGCGCCTCGCCCCAGCGCGCGCGCTCGCGTTTCGTCGCTCCAGCTCGTCCTGATTTCCGCGCGCCGTCCGCGTCGCCAGCCGTGGCTCACTTCCGCGCGCCGTCGCAGGGCGACGTCGAGTCCGGCGCGACCATCTTCGCGGGCAACTGCGCCGCGTGCCACGCCGGCGGCAACAACGTCATCGCCGCGGAGAAGACGCTCCGCAAGGAGGCGCTCGACTCGTACCTCACGGGCGGCCGCAAGGAGTCGTCGGTCGTGACCCAGGTGACGAACGGCAAGAACGCGATGCCCGCCTTCGGCGGCCGCCTCTCCGACGAGGAGATCGGCGACGTCGCGGCCTACGTCATCGACCAGGCCAACGGCGACAAGTGGGACGAGTAGGCGCGCGCCAAGACCGCCCGCACGCCCTCCCTGTAACATGACGCCACCCAGCTACGCGAGACGCCGGGCCTTTCGGCACCAGCGGGGCGTTGTGAGCCCCAAGGTCGGGTGATAGAATCGCTCGCAGGCGCTTAGGGGGCGTTCCTCGACCTCGTCGACCGGGCGGGTGCGACTTTCTGCGGCGTCTCGCAGCGCGAGGGATGTGGAACGGGCTGCGTAGTGCGCGTAGTGCAGAGCGGGTCGCGAGGGACGTAGCACGGGTCGCGTAGAGCGCGGAGTGCAGAGCGGGTCGCGTCCGCGGCGCGAGTCCCGCGGAGCGTAGGAGGGAGCGCGAAGCGATCTCGCCGCGGCACGTTCTAGCATGTAGGCGACGACGGGGGGCTCCTCCAGGATGAGCTACGCGCCCGAACGCAAGCAAAGAAACCTAAGCGCTCGGAACCACAGAGATAATCGATTTTCCACACGCATGGGCCGTTTTGGACCGCGGTTCGGATTGGTCATTGTAACATTCGTCATCGCGCGGGGGTGTTTCGATTCGGAGAGACGACGGCGTCTCTCGCTCGAGCCTCAGCTTCTATGGGTGTGTGGGATAGTAGTAGTCCACAGCGGACGGTGTCCTTCTGGAGCCGGCTCCGCGGGCGTTCGGACCGCGCCGCGGCACCCGCCGCCTCGCGGCGACGCATGCGCGTCGCGGCCCGGCCGCCGTTGGGATCGCCGTAGGGTTTAAGTCATTGGCACGCGCGACGAGAACGAAGACACGAGGCGCGGACGCGGCGGCGCACGGGAGGAGGCTGCGCGAGCGCGGTGAGGACGGGCCCGGCGCGGCGGCGGGGATCGCTTCTGCGGTCGCGCGCGCGCGTCGCGCGGCTCCGGTGGAGGCTGCGGCAGCGCGGCGGCGGCGTCGGCGCTGCTGTGTTGCTGCGAGGCGATGCCTCGCCGCGCAGGCCCGATCGCCGAGAGGCAATGCGCTGAGATGCTGCAAGATGCAGTTGTATCCACCACAACTGCTCTCTCGATTAAGAGGCGGGGCAGCACTCCGACGTCCCGTCGGGCCGCGCGGCCGCATCGTGTGTCGGGGGTGCCATGGGCACCCTCGGCGGCTTCGTAGCCCGGTAGCCAAGGCGGTACAAAGGGGTTGGTCCTGAGCCGAACCTAAAACTCGACACGATGCCGGCGTCGACGTATCACGTGGCGCCCATGCCGACGCACGCGCACGTCGCGGAGAAGCACGAGGAGGTGCGCGTGCGCACGGGCTTTGGGCACAAGAGCAAGCCGAAGACGCTGCAAGAGGCCATGAAGATGCGCGGCGACCCCGGCGAGCGGCGGCGCGGACGCGTTCGCCGTCGCGTCGCCACGACCGCGCCGGAGAGCGCCGAGAGTCGATCGCTCGTCCGACCCGCCGCGCGAAAAAAGAGAGGCGCGTTCGCAGCGAGAGTTTATCGCTCGTTTGACCCACCGCTCGTTTGACCCACCATATCGGACCCCGCCCCTCCCCAGGCAAGCAGGACGTCGAGGTCGGCGTGCGGCTCAAGAAGGAGCCGCTGCAGATGCACCAGCGCATCCAGCGGTCCGGGCGCGTGCTCACGGCCGAGGGCGACAAGTCGCCCTGGCGCGTCGCGCCCGACGCCATCGGGCGGAGTTTGGGGGAGTGGCGCGGCGAGATGGCGAGGCGGCGCGCGACGCTCGACGAGCTCCGCGTCGCCGTGGACGCGGAGAAGACGGACAAGATGCAGGAGAACGTGCTGCCCTACATGCTCGCCTACAGCCGGCGGCGCATGGCCGGCGGCGGCGACAAGGCGCCGAGCCTCGCGGCGTACCACCACGAGGTCGCGGAGTCCATCGAGGTCGTCGACCGCACGCGGCACCGATGGCGCAAGAACGACCCCGCGCCGCCCTCGGAGGACCCCGGCGACACCATCGACGCCGTCCACGCCCGGGAGGTGCTCGCGGAGAAGGCGGCGATCCGCGACAAGCAGGTGAAGCGCATGCGGCTGCGGCAGGACTCGTACTACGGCCGCGACGGCAAGGGCGACCCCGTGCCCGACAAGCCCGACGGCATGGAGCGCCTCGAGCGGCGCAAGGCGCGCCTCAAGGCCCAGGGCCGCGACCTCAACGGCCGGGAGAACTTCGAGCTCCAGCGCCACATCATCCGCTGGACGGACTCGAAGCTCTCGGCGCTCAACGAGAAGAAGCGCCGCGAGAAGCACCTGCTCCGGAACCGCTTCAAGAACAAGATGAAGGAGGCCAAGACGCGGCCGTCGGCCATCGGCGAGGGCCTGCGGCGCGCGTCGCAGATCCTCACGCGGCGCCTGAGCGCCGCGGGCATCCTGGGGAGCGGCGACGGCGACGGCGACGGCGGCGAGGGCGCGCCGGAGGAGGAGCCGGAGCGCGACGAGGACGCGCCGCTGACGCCGCGGTCCGCGGCGAAGCTCATGGAGGCGACGCTCGACTCCGCGCTCCAGGGCATGGGCGGCCGCGACACGGTCGCGGTCATCAAGGACCGGCGCGAGAGCGTGTCCGTCGAGGACCGCATCCGCAACCTGAGCCCGGCGAAATTGGGCGCCAAGGTCGCGCAGCAGATCCGGCTGGGCTTCCGCACGATGGAGCGGCCGAAGACGTCGCGGGGCCCCGACGCCGCGGCGCCGTCGACGCCGCTCCGCGGCCTCTTCAACTTCGGCGCGTTCTCGCCCATCAAACCGCCCCCCAAAGACAGCCACGCGCCGGCGCCGAGCGGCGGCGACGCCGCGGCGGCGGCGCCGGCGCCGTCCGAGGCCCAGGTCGAGGCCGCGGCCGCGGGCCGCGCGAAGTTCAAGAAGGCCGTCGGCAAGCTGGTGATGAAGAACGTCGCGTTCAACGTCACGAAGATCCGCGTCAAGAAGGGCCAGGAGGCCTACGCGCGCGAGCAGGAGCGCCTCATCACGGAGCAGGGCCTCGTCGCCAAGGAGCTCCAGCGCCAGAAGGACGCGGACGAGCTCGACGCGTTCGGCGTCTTCGCGGACCTCGCGCCGGGCATGGACAACGAGCGCGCCAACGCCGCGGGCGCCGGCGGCGACGGCGACGGCGACGGCGACGGCGACGGCGACGCGCCGGCGAAGCCCAAGAAGAAGCACGTCAACCTCAACAAGATCGGCCGCGAGGCGCCCGCGCCGCGGAAGCAGATCAAGCGCAAGGCCGTCGCCGAGTCCAAGCTCAAGCCCCAGGAGCTCGGGCCCCAGTACCCCGAGGGCATGGACGTGCCCCAGGTGCCCGTCCACGACTCGCGCCTCAAGCCGAAACGATAACGCGGAGCCTACGCGGCGTCGGGGGAGGCAGCCAATGAGCGTTCGGCGAAGAGCTTGTGGAGAGAGCGCCAGCGTTCCCCTGTGTCGAGCGGACGCCGCGCCTCCGCCGTACGCCCAGGAAGCGATGGCCGAAATCCTGCACGAGGCAGCTCTCGTGAAGACGCTGTGCTGGCTCCAGGAGCCGAAACAGCTCCCCGAGCGCTGCGACTTCTCCTACGCCCAGGCCCTGGCCCCGTGCTGCTCCGACGACCTCCTTTCGGCCTGTCGCGCCGCGGACCACGCCCTCATCACGCTCAAGGCCGCCGTGGCGCGGGACAAGCGGGAGCGGGGCGACGCGGCCGCGGCGCTCGCGGCGGCGGCGTCGGCCGTCGCGGCCTGGCGCGCCGTCGCGTTCCTCGGCGCCGCGCTCGACGCCGGCGTCGCCAGGCACTGCCGCCTCGACGGCCCCGTGACCGTGTCCTGGACGACGGGGTTCCCGGGCCTCTGCTGGCGCACGGGCCACGCGACGCTCGAGTCCGCCGGCGCGCCGCGCCTCGCGGCGGCCGCGGCCGCGGGCTGCCGCGTCGACGCGGCCATGTGCCTCGCGACGGCGGCCTGGGCCTTTTCCGCCGGCGCGGCGCGCACGCTCGCGGGCGGCGCGCTCAAGCTCGGGGACCTCGCCGCGGACGGCGGGCCGCTCGTGCGCGCGTCGGCCGCGCTGCGCGAGGCCGCGGGGTGCTGGGCGGGCGTCGCCGCGGCCGCCGGCGCGCCCTTCGAGCGCTACGACCCGCCGCGCGAGCTCGCGGCGGACGTCGCCGCGGCGCTCAAGTCGGCGTGCCTCGGCGCCGCGGACCGGCTCGCCGTGGCCAAGGCGCTCGCGCGCGAGCTCGCGGCGGGCGCGAAACCCGCGGCCGTCGCGCCGCGCCTCGCCGACGGCGCGGCGGCCGCCGAGGGCGCCGCCGTCGCCGCCGTCGAGCCCCAGGACAGGCAAATGGCGGCGAACCTGGCGGCGGCGTCGCTCGCGGGCTTCGCGGTCGGCGACTTGTTGCGGGCGCGCGTCGCGGCCGCGGCCGAGCGGCCCGGCGACGCCGTCGCGTTCGCGGCGCGCGCCGAGCGGCGCTTCGCGGCGCTGCGCGACGCCGGCACGAAGGGCGGCTGGGGCGGCCACGACCACGCCGCCTACCCGGACCTCACGGAGGCGACGCGGAGCGCGTACGCGCTCGCCGGCGGCGCGCTGGGCTCCGCGAAGGCGCCGGGCCTCGACGCCGTCGCGGCCAGGGCCCACGAGGCCTACGACCGCGACAACCGGACCATCTACTTCGCGTCCGTGCCGGCGACGCTCGTCGCCGACGCGCCGCTCACGCTGAGCAAGCCGACGGACCGGGCGCCGCGGCCGGGCCCCTTTCCGCCCTTCGCGGAGCCCCCGGACGACGACCCGAAGCTGGAGCTCTTCGACCCCGAGCGCTTCGCGGCCGTCGCGGCCGCGCGGCGGGAGGCGGAGGACATCCAGCGGGTCGCGGACGACGCCGCGCGCGCCGAGGCGCGGGCGCGGGCCGACGCGGAGGCCGCGGCCGCCGCGGAGGAAGAGAAGAAGCGGCTCGCCGCGGAGCAGGCGTCGTTCCTCGAGGTCACGTGCCCGACGGGCTTCGGCCCGGGCGACGCGCTCTGGGTCCGGGGCCCCGACGGCACGCAGGTGAAAGCCACGGTGCCGCGCAAGGTCTTCGGCGGCGACAAGTTCCTCGTCGCGCTCCGCGGCGACGTCGCGCTCCCGGCGGGGGACGACCCCAGGGCCGACGCGGCGACCGTCGTCGCGTCGCAGCACCCGGAGTCGACGATCGACTCCTTCTTCCAGGCGCGGCCGCTCGACGGCACCGAGGACGCGGACCACGTCGACGTCTACACGGGCAAGCCCGCGCCGGCCGCGCCGCCGCCGGCGGCGCCGCCGGCCGCGCCCGCGCCGCCGCGGACCGCGCCGCCGCCCGCGCCGCCGGCCGCCGGGGCCGCGGCCTTTTGGACCTGCCCCCAGTGCACCTTCAACAACGAGCTCACCGCCGCCGCCTGCGCCATCTGCGCCGCCGCGCGGCCCGCGGCGGCCCCGGGCGCCGACGCGGACGCGGCGCTCGCGCGGCGCCTCGCCGCGGAGAACGCGGCGCCGCCGCCGTCCGAGGCCGACGACCTCCGCGTCGCCCAGCAGCTGCGCATCCAGCTCGACGAGGAGCGCCGGCAGCAAGAGGCCCGCGACGAGGCGTTCGCGCGGTCCCTGGCGCAGCAGGGCCCGTCCGCGCCGCCGAACCCGTTCTAAACTACATCTCTTTGCCTCGACGAGCCACCCGTTCCTCGTGGTCGCGTCTAGACGGCACGGCTCGAGCCTCGAGGCAACTCCATCTCTTACAAATCGCCCCGCAAGTTCCCCGCGAGCTGCGCGGCGGCGTAGGCGTCCTGCGTGTCCTTCTGGAAGAGGTACATGACGTCGCCGAAGAAGTTTTGGTTGTCCGCGACGCCGAGCTTCTGGCCCTCGAGCTCGAGCGCGAATTGCGCGAGCTTCGCCACGGTGGCGTCGTGCGTCCTGCCGTCGTCGTGCATGTCGCGGCGCGTGCCCTTGGGCACGTTGGGGAACTGGCTCTTGATGGACCGCGCCTCGTCCTTGGACCAGCTGCCGCCGACGACGAGCTTCACGCCGCCGGAGCCCGTCGCCGCGTCGGAGAAGACGGTGCCGAGGTGCTGTTTGAGCCCCGCGACGTCGTAGGGCAGCACGCCCATGACCTGCGTGAACGGCATGCCCGGCGGCAGCTCGTGCTTCGCCAGGTCCGCCTTCGACGGCGCGGCGGTCAACGTGATGCAGCGCGGCAGGCTCGCGTCGGCGCTGCAGGCGAAGGCCTCGAGGCACAGCACGTTCGTGACGTCGAAGGAGCCGGAGCCCTGCGCGGACGTCGTCGTTGCTACGGCGAGCAGGACGGCGACCGCGAGGCGGCTGGTTGAACGCATTGACGCGCTTGCCATGCTTGTTGAACGCATTGACGCGGTTGCCATGCTTGACCTCGTGGCTTCAACAAAACCACTCGCTGAATCGAGTGGCAAAGGTGAGGCCAAAGCAGCCTCCAGGCCAGCCTTGGATTGCATCAAGCGTATGGTCAAGGCGCAGCCGACAATCCACTAGAGCGCGGCCGGGAGGCCAGACAGTGCGCCAATCTAGCGCCGCGCCGCTAGCGAGACATGCCGCAGCCGCTCTTCGCCGTCGCCGAGCTCGCCGCCGCGGCCCCGCCCTGGCGCGTCGCCGTCGGCCGGGCCGGCTCGATCCTGCGCGCGCTCCTCGGCAGCCGCGAGGTCCGGGTCGTGCGCCGGGTCGCCAGGGTCGCGCTCTGGCCCGTGAACTTCGTGCTCGGCAACATCCTCAGCGGGAACTGGGTGCCGAGCGGCCCCTGGATCGTCGTCTGGAGCAGCTTCGCCTTCGCGGCGAACGTGCAGACCTACAAGCAGATCGTGGGCCTGTCCTGGCGCCTGGCCAAGGCCCAGGTCGCGGCGTGGCGCGGCGACAGCGAGGAGAAGAGCCGCGTCGCGTGCGAGCTCTGCGACACGATCATCGGCCTCATCCTCAAGTTCGACAGCAACTCGCCCGAGGACATCGACTGCGGCGAGCTCTGCCCCTTCGGCATGGGCAAGTGCGTGCGGACCTGCGAGTCCATCGTCGAGGCCATCGCGACGTCGTCGCACTACCCCTGCGTCGCCGCGCAGCTCTGCGCGGACGAGCTGCCCGACGGGAGTTTGGGCGGCGCGCTCGGCGGCGGCGACGTGACCTGCGCCTGGGACAAGGCCGAGCGCGCCTGCGCGCCCAAGGGCCTCTGCACGAAGGCGGGCTCCGCGCCGGCCTTCGTCGCGAACGTCGTCCCCGGCCTCGCGCGGTGCGAGCTCCACCCGGGCCTCGAGCTCTGGGGCAAGTACCAGTCGCAGCTCTCGCGGCACGCCGGCGCGCTCGTCGGCGCGCTCGCGCACCAGCCCAAGTGCGGCGAGCCCGGCGCGTCGCCCGTCTTCTGCGTGCAGCCGCCGGGCTCCGCGGCGTCCAAGTTCAGCGAGCGCGCGTCCGCGGTGCTCGTGCTGCTCGTGGGCATCCTGCGGAGCGTGCGGGCCATCGAGACGAACGGCGGCGACGACGACAAGCTCATGCTCACGTTCTGGATCGTCTTCGTGCTCTGCACGCTCGCGGAGCGCGTGCTCGTCGTGATCCTGTCGAGACTCGCGTACTACTACCACGCGAAGCTCGCGGTCGTGCTCTTCATCACCTACTTCGACGGCGCCGAGGTGCTCTACCGGAAGCTGCGGCGGTTGCGCTACCGCGTCGCCCACAGCTCCATCTGGCGCAAGCGCATGGGCCCGCTCTTCCTGCTCCGGTACCTGCACGAGGACGTGAGCACGGAGACGTACGCGGAGCGGCGCGCGCGCGCGGAGGAGACGGCCGTGAGCAAGCTCGAGGAGCAGGCGTCCTTCGGGGCGCTCGCCGTCGTCGCGGACTACGCGAACCGCACGAGCCTCGGCGCCGCGTACGAGGCGGCCGTCCGCGACGACTTTGGCCCGCTCGCGCGCGACGCGCTCGTCGCGCTGTGGGACAAGGACGAGTTCGCCTTCCTCTACGCGCGCGTCCACGGCGTCACGGACCTCGCCTTCGAGCCCGCCGCGGCGCCCGCGGACGCGCCGCGGCCGCTCCGCCGGTCCGCGTCGGGCGACGATTTGCTGAAGGCCGCGCTCGCGGACGGCAGCCAGCAGTGCTACTGCGAGATGCACCTCATGCGCCGGGCCGACGGCGACGACGGCGACGGCGAGGCGCCGCCCGTGCTCAAGTTCGAGAACGACGCGCGGCGCGCGCGGCGCCACAGCGCCCTCGGCGATATCGCGTCGGCGCGCGTCGCGGACATCGGCCTCGCGGAGCTGCGGACGTCGCAGAGCACGCCGGACCGCACGCTCCACCGGCGCATCAAGACGCCCAAGTACCAGAAGCTGCTCGCGTCGCCCAAGCACCCGCGGTCGCGGTCGCTGTCGAGCGAGAGCGAGGGCGACGCGGCCGCCGCGCCGGGGCTCGCCGCGCGGCTCGTCGCGGCGCTCGCGGCGCTGCGGGACCGCCTCGTCGCCGCCGTGCGCGCCCTCACCGTCGTCGAGAGCTTTCTGGGCCACTTCGAGGGGGCCGCGCTCGCGTCCGCCGTGTCGGAGCGGCGGGGGGCCGCGGACGGCGCGTGGGACGCGGACCTCGAGCTCAAGCTCCTCGGCGGCGGCGTCGACGACCAGGGCAAGTGGCACAACCCCGAGGCCGCCTTCCTCGAGGTGCTCGTCCAGGTCTGGGCCTACCGCGCGTTCGCCGCGGACGCGAAACTCGGCGAGGCGCGCGTCAAGGTCTGCATCCTCATGCACGGCGGGCCCGTCAAGCTCGAGAACCTCGCCCTCAAGAGCGGGGGCCGCGTCACGGGCCGGCTCACGGCGACCATGCGCCTCGCGCCGAGCTAAGGGGCGACGTCGGGCGCCGCGCGGGCGATCGGGTTTAGAGGAGCGCGGGCTTCGCGCCGGGGTGGCCCGGCGACCAGCTCGAGACGTCGTGCTCGTCGACGTCGCGGAAGTCGTAGTCGACGTGGACGAAGGCGCGCTCGACGTCGGCGATGGCCTCGACGCGCTGCTGGAGGTCGAGCGCCAAATCGTGCGAGACCTTGAGCGGGGTCCCCGCGTCCATGACCATCTCGAGCTCCACCAAATAGCGCGGCCCGAAGTGGTAGGCGCGGACGATGTCGCACTGCATGGCGTCCGAGTAGGCGCCCGCGCAGGCCCGGAGCTCCTCGAGGAAGGCCGGATCCGCGGATCGGCCGACGAGGTGCTGCACCTGCTCGATGCCCGTCTCGAGCCACGAGTACGCGATGTAGAGCGAGATGCCGATGGCGCCGACGGGGTCCGCGTAGGCCAGGCCGTAGCGCGCCGCGAGGACCGCCGCGCCGAGCGCGACGACGTTCGACAGCACGTCGTTGAAGTGGTCCTGGTTCACCGCGGCGACGGCCGGGTGCGACCGGACGAGCGCGTCGTGCCGCACGGCGATCCAGGCGTAGAGCGCGGCCTTCCAGAGCACGGCGACGGCCATGGTCGCGCCGTTCGCGAGGCTCACGTCCACGTCGGCGGCGTCGCCCCGCGCGAGCGCCGCGAGCTGCTGCGCGGCGGCGAGGAGCACGAACGCGGCCGAGAGGCCCATGAGCATCGCGCAGACGACGACGCCGACGGGCTCGAGCCGCGCGCGGCCCGCGGGGTAGTCGCCGCCCGCGCGGTTCTTCGCGGCCGCCGCCGTCGCGACGAGCACGAGCTGCGAGACGAGGTCGAGCGCGGAGTCGAGCAGCGACGCGAGCACCGCGAGCGACCCGGATTGCGCCGCGACGACGGCCTTGGCGGCGGAGAGCACGACGTTCGCCTCGAGGGACCGACGCATGACGGCGCTCTCGGCGGCGTCCACCGGCGGCGGCGGCGCGAGGCCCGACGCCTCCTCGTAGACCTGCACCCGGAGCGGCGAGCGCATCTCGACGGCGACGTGCTGCGTGCGCGGCGGCGAGTGCGCCGCCGTGCCGCCGTAGCCACCGTTTGATGACGATGCCATGGGAATCGACGTGGGCTAGCAACAATGAGTCGCAAGGACGCCGCCCGACGCCGACGATGCAAGGGACGCCCGACGCGGCCGATGCAAGGGACGGCGCGCAGCTTGAGGCTCTGATTATCACACTGTTGCCACTCCGCTCGCTTCGCTCGCTGTTCAAAGTAGTAAGTGAAGTAGTCCTTGAAGTGATCAAACCTCAGCTCCACTAAAAGAAAATTTCCCTTACGCCCCACAACTCGTCGCGGCCTCGGCCGTGGACCCGTTGCACGCGTAGCACGCGACGTTCGTGCCGACCTCGGCCGCGTAGCGCCCCGCGGTGCAGTTCGTGCAGGCGCCCGCGCCCGCGGGCGACCAGGTCCCCGCGGGGCAGGACGCGCAGGGGTAGGCGCCGCGCCGGACGAACTCGCCCGCGGCGCAGTCGAAGCACGTCGCCTCGCCGAGCTTCGAGGTCTTCCCCGCGGGGCACGGGTGGCAGGCCGTCGAGTTCGTCTCGTTCGCGAAGTAGCCCGGGTCGCAGGGGATGCAGTCGTGCATGTGGTCCGGCACGACGCGGCTCTCCGGCGCGTACTTGCCGGGCGCGCAGCCCGTGGCGACGCCCGCGCGGCACTCGAAGCCCGCGGGGCAGGCCGCGTCGCAGTGGCCGTCCGCGGCGATGTTGTCGCTAAAGTCCGACGTGCCCTCGCAGACGACGC